CCGGCCCCGGGACAGACAGTCAAACAACGACTCGGGATGAGCATGTGGCCCCAGGGAGGGGGTCAGATCCCTGGGGGAGGGGCTGGCGTCACAGAGCAGAACGCAACGGCAGTTTCGGAAGGAGATCGTCGGCGGTCGCCGTCGTCCCACGAGGACGACGACGGCGGCGACGGCGATCGACGACAACGAGCGATCAATGACGACGCCCGCGAGCGATGGCAAGTCCACCACCGCTGACGACGAGCGACGACGACGATCAACGACGGACGACGGACGACGACGGAAGCCACGACGACAATGACGACGGACGACAGACGACGGACGACGGACGACGACGACGCCCAAAGCGCCGACGACGTCAAAAGCGACGACGGCGACGACGACGACGGACGACGGACCACGGACGACGGACCACGGACGACGCATGGTGGACGAAGGACGACGGGCGCAGGACGGACGACGCACGAGGGACGGCAACGACGACGACGTCGACGAAAGCGACGACGACAACGAAGACGGCGACGACGGCGATGGCAATGGACAGCAACGTCGACGACGTCGACGACGACGACGAAGACAACGACGACGACGACGGCCACGGCGACGACGACGACGGCGATATGGCGATCGGCGACATGGCGATCGGCGACAAGCGCCAGGCCGCGACCAAGATCGGGTTTCTGCAGCCCGGGCGGTTTCTCTCCTCGGCCTCTTTGGCGCGGCCTGGTCTTGTTCCCCCCCTCCGCGGCCGCCCCCTCCTCTGCTCAGGAGAGGACAAGACACACAGACTCCATTTCATCGTCGATCCCCAGGAAATATGAGAAACTATTGGAAGTGGGGGGGAAGGCAAAAATCCAGAAAATATTAGAAAATACGGGGAATCTTTTTTTATTTGTGTGTATTTGTTTGTGTGTCCCAGGGCCCCTTCATCTGCCCCCTCCCGACTCTTGGCACGCCGGCCAGGTCGCTGCGGGGTGCCTCCGTTTCGCCCCATGGCTGGTGCGGCCAGCTCTGCCTCGCCGCCGACGGAACGTTCGGGGCTGGACAGAGGCCCCAATGGTGACACGTCGATTCGTGAATGGTTCGTTTTCGGTTGTCGAGAGGGCGCCGCGGGCGTCATTTTCCAGGCTTGCGCCCGCCAGGTTTGGGCCTCAGGTCGTTTTCACTGAGCCACGTTGTGCTAAAGGGAGGCCTGCCCATCCCCGAAACGTGCGCTTTCTCGACGGTTGCCCCTGCGGGCCCGCGCCTGGGCCCCACAGGACCATGCACCAGGGCGCCCACGTCAGGCGAAGAGCGGGCCCACGGGCGGCCGAGGGACCTCCTCCTGAGGCCCGCGGGCGGAACAAAAATGCGGAGCGGCGCGGCTGCCTCGGAAGGCCTCGGAAGGCCTCGGAAGGCCTCGGGCTTTTCCGACGGGTTTCTCAAAAGGTCTCGAAAGGTCTTCGAGGGGTTTCGACGGGTGCTCCGCAAAGGTTCCGGACCGTGTTCGAGAGGTTCCGAAAAAGAAAGGTTTTCAGCAGGTCTCGGAAAGCTTCGGGTCTCAACAGGGTCCGAGAGGTGTTCGAGAGGTCACGGGGAAGTTCGTAGCGACGGATGGTCCTCCGGGGGTTGCGCCAGGTGTCGGGGCCCGGTGCGGTGGCCACCAGCCGCGCCTCGCCGGGAACGCTCCCGCGGGTGCCCAGAGCGTCTCGAGAGCGGCGACGGGGGGGGGGGACTGGCCTTAAGTCGGGCCTTTCCCTCTACAGGAGGGATCTCCCAAAATTGTTCAATAAGAAATAATATGGGAAATATTAGTTTGAGTATTGTTTGACCGTTCTGGTTATTGTTTGCATTTTCAATTTTTCGCTTTGAACCCCCCTGTAGGAGGACAGGCCCGACTTCAAACTGGCCCGGGGCGGGGGACATCGTCGCAGGCCCAGAATTTGACGCCAACGCCTATCTCGGGGCGGTGTGCCTCCATCGTGGGCAGAGGATCCCGATCGCGGTGATGGTGATAATACCCTGGCCTCCAAGGGGGCCGAAATATGACCATCAGCACCGAAAGCTAGGATCATCTTCTCGACGACTTGGATCCGTCACGTGATGCGAATCGGAGAAGGAGTAGGAAAAGAAGGATATACAGAGGAGGAAGAGGAGGGGGATTCGGTGGGGAGGGGGGAACTTCGCATCGCGTGACGAAATCCTTGTGTTGGTGGCAACCCCCTGTGTTGGCACACCCCTGTGGAGGTAACCCCCTGTGTTGGTCGCCTCCCCCTGTAGAGGCAATCCCCTGTGCTCGTGTTGGTGCCCATGTCCAGGCCTCCGACTCGGCCCCCGAATCGCCCCTTCCTCACGGAAATCTGGGATCATCGTCCCCTTGTGGAGGCAAAGCGCCCTGTGCTGGTGCTGGTGCCCATGCCCAGGCCTCCGGCATCGGCCCCCGAATCGCCCCTTCCTCACGGAAATCTGGGATCATCGTCCCCTTGTGGAGGCAAAGCCCCCTGTGCTGGTGCCCATGCCCATGCCCAGGCCTCTGGCATCGGCCCCCGAATCGCCCCCTCCGCGCCGAAAGCTTGGATCCTCTCTCCCCTTGTGGAGGCAGAGCCCCCTGGGCCGGTGCTGGTGCCCATGCCCAGGCCTCTGGCATCGGCCCCCGAATCGCCCCCTCCGCGCCGAAAGCTTGGATCCTCTCTCCCCTTGTGGAGGCAGAGCCCCCTGGGCCGGTGCTGGTGCCCATGCCCAGGCCTCTGGCATCGGGCCCCGAATCGCCCCCTCCGCGCCGAAAGCTTGGATCCCCTCGGTGCTGGTGCCCATGCCCAGGCCTCTGGCATCGGGCCCCGAATCGCCCCCTCCGCGCCGAAAGCTTGGATCCTCTCTCCCCTTGTGGAGGCAGAGCCCCCTGGGCCGGTGCTGGTGCCCATGCCCAGGCCTCTGGCATCGGCCCCCGAATCGCCCCCTCCGCGCCGAAAGCTTGGATCCTCTCTCCCCTTGTGGAGGCAGAGCCCCCTGGGCCGGTGCTGGTGCCCATGCCCAGGCCTCTGGCATCGGCCCCCGAATCGCCCCCTCCGCGCCGAAAGCTTGGATCCTCTCTCCCCTTGTGGAGGCAGAGCCCCCTGGGCCGGTGCTGGTGCCCATGCCCAGGCCTCTGGCATCGGGCCCCGAATCGCCCCCTCCGCGCCGAAAGCTTGGATCCTCTCTCCCCTTGTGGAGGCAGAGCCCCCTGGGCCGGTGCTGGTGCCCATGCCCAGGCCTCTGGCATCGGGCCCCGAATCGCCCCCTCCGCGCCGAAAGCTTGGATCCTCTCTCCCCTTGTGGAGGCAGAGCCCCCTGGGCCGGTGCTGGTGCCCATGCCCAGGCCTCTGGCATCGGCCCCGAATCGCCCCCTCCGCGCCGAAAGCTTGGATCCTCTCTCCCCTTGTGGAGGCAGAGCCCCCTGGGCCGGTGCTGGTGCCCATGCCCAGGCCTCTGGCATCGGCCCCCGAATCGCCCCCTCCGCGCCGAAAGCTTGGATCCTCTCTCCCCTTGTGGAGGCAGAGCCCCCTGGGCCGGTGCTGGTGCCCATGCCCAGGCCTCCGGCAACGGCCCCCGAATCGCCCCTTCCGCGCCGGAAGCTGGGATCATCTCCCCCCTTGTGGAGGCAAAGCCCCCTGGGCTGGTGCACGGTGCCCGCGCCCCGGCCGCCGGCCTCGGCCCCCGAGGCGCCCCCTTCCTCGCCGAAGCCTCGGCTCCCTCTGCCCCAGGCCTGCCCGGGGGGAGGGCGCCGCGGCGTTCCCCATCGCGGGGGGGGCCCTCCTCGCCGACCCCTCGGAGGGCGCCTCGCGAAGGCCATGGGCGACGTGTGCTTTTTTTTTTAATCGGGCCCGTCCTTCTACAGGAGGCATATTCCAAACTAGTAAAAAATAGTGTGGGGACGATGTCTCGACCATGTTTGACTCTTTGCTGTTCTTCGCCCACAATCCGCCTCTAGGGGGAACGCGCCCGACTTCAACCCGTACCCCCTGGAGCCAGTGCCCCCCTCCCCTACTGCAGTCGAGACGCTGGCACGCGGAGCAGCTCGGGTTGCGGGGGAGCTCACTGCTCCTTCCAGGTCCGCCCACCGTTGCGCCTCCAGCGCCCCTCGCGTGGCCAGGCGGCCCTGCTGGGTTCGGCCCCCCGTTGCGCGCTGCCTCCTGCTCTTGGGGCCGCGCGCGGACGCGTGCACTGCTCTCTCTGCGAGGCCAGCGCCGGAACGCGTGCGCCACCCTGGAGCTGGACCAGCGTATAGGGAACACTCGAGTAGGGGATCGACTACAGAATTGATCTACCCCCGAATTGATTTTCTCGTCGAATCCGTTGGAAGTGCGTAGGACGTTCGTACATCTACAAACATCCTACGTATGGCTCGACGAGAAATTTAATTTTGGGGTAAATCAATTATGTAGATGATCACGTACTCCACACACACGCGCACGACACCAAACAGCGCAGGGGGTTGCGGGCGCCTGAGCGATGGCAGGTGGCCGTAGCTTGACTGCATCGCTTCCCCAGCAGAGGCCTCCCGCCCCAGCGCTGCGGCGCAGGGCGGGCCTTCCAGGACAGCGGCCTCTGCCGCCGGCGTCGGCGGCGGCGCCCTGCTGCTCGCCGCTGGGCGCCGAGGGCGCGCGGGGCGGCGGGCGCGGCTGCGGAGGAGGACGGCGCTCCGGGCCGCCGCCGTCGAGGACGACATCCCTCGAGACCGCGAGCGCTACACGGATGCCGCGTGGAAGGCGATGGAGGACTCGGGGGAGGAAGATGGACCCATGCCGCGACCCTTCCCTCGCGTTCGCCCTGTAGGGCCTCCTGGGAGGCCCGCGTCGCCACCGCCGGATTCGCCCCGGGAGTCCTGGTCAGCGCGCACTCTGGGGAGAGGTCCGGGGAAGAGCGGTATCGGTGCCTTTCTGGGTCGCCCCCCCAAGGATGCCCCGGTCTATGCGGAGAAGGCGGGCTCGCAGTATGTGGAGTCCGAGCACATTTTTTGGGCCCTGCTCGAGGCGTCGATCTCCATGACGGGGAACCTCGGGGCTCGGATATTGGAGAAGGCGGGCGTGAGGGCGCAGGACGCCCTCAAGAAGGTGAACGAGTTTGCGGAGAAGCAGCCCAAGGTCTTCACTGGCGGCAACGCGGTTCCGGCAAACACCGCAGGGCGCAGCCTGGTCGCGATGATCCGGGACGCGAACAAGATCTCCACGGAGATGAAGGACAAGTATTTATCGGTGGAGCACCTCATGTTGGCTTACGCTCGCGACCAGCGAAGCGGTCAGAGACTTATCCTTGAATTGGGCCTGAGTGAAGAGAAGCTCAGGGATGCCGTCATGGACATCCGGGGCGACAAGACGGTGCAGACCCAGAACCCAGAGGCGACGTACGAAGCGCTTTCATTGTACGGCACCGACGTCACCGCCATTGCGCGTGCTGGAAAGATTGACCCGGTCATCGGTAGGGACGAGGAGATCCGACGCGTGATCCAGATCTTGGCACGCCGTTCAAAGAATAACCCAGTCATCATAGGCTCGTCTCGGACGAAAGGGCGGGCACTGGGACATGGGGGATTAACCGCTAAACGTCTTTAGTTGTGGTTCCCCCCCCCTTTCTCTCGGCGGTAAATAGGACTGATCCTAAAACGTCCTCCTGCTCCTCCTCCCTCCTCCTCCTCCTCCTCCTCCTTGTTCCTCCTCCTCCTCCTTCTTCTCCTATTTCTCCTCCTCCTCCTCCTCGTCCTTCTCCTCTCCCTGAGGAATGACACGAGGCGGGTGTCGCCAACACAAATTAGCCTGGCGAAGAAATCAACCATATGCAGTTGTGGGTATAGCCATTGTATGCACCAGATTCGGTGGAGCTCCCTATGAGACCGCGAAGCGTGTGAGGAGTGTGCCACAATGGTCGCGGTGGGCGAGTGCGAACGCTGGCATTTGGCCCTTCGGTGGCGCCCCCTTTATGGGGCCACGAAGCGTGTGAGGGGTGTGCCAAACTGGGTGCGGTGGGCGCGTGCGAACGTTGGCACTTGGGCCTTCGGTGGCGCTCCCGATGGGGCCACGAAACGTGTGAGGGGTGTGCTGAAACGGGTGCGGTGGGCGCGTGCGAACGTTGGGATTTGGGCCTTCGGTGGCGCTCCCTGTGGGGCCACGAAGCGTGTGAGGGGTGTGCTGGAACGGGTGCGGTCGGTGGCCGCATGCGGCCGCTGGCAGTTAGGCCTTCGGGGGGGCTCCTCCCTATGGGGCTCCGAAACGTGTGAACGGTATGCCAAATTATCCCAGTGCGACCCTACCTAGGAGTTGGAGGATCTAGGAAAGCAACATCTATATGAAGCTAAGCTAAGCTAAGATGAAGCTAAGATAAGATGACATAAGCTAAGCTAAGCTGAGATAAGCAACGCTAAGCTCAGGGAGCGTCACTGGGGGAACCGCGGAGCGGATGCTGGGGGAACCGCCCGGGGCGAGTTGCATTGCCCGGCCCTTTAAGCTTAGCGAGTAAGAGCCCTTCTAGGCAGAGCCTAGGTAGGGAAATTGGTGCTGTGGGCGCATGGCGAACGCTGACACTTGGGTCTTCGGTGGAGCTCTCGATGGGGCCACGAAGCGTGTGAGCGGTGTGCCAAAGTGAGGGGGGGGGCGGGAGGAGGGGGGGAGGGAGGGGGGGGGAGTAAGGTGACGCGTGGCGCTGCCTTTTCTTTTCCGAACGAGGACCCAAGACCACACCACAGGATGGTTGGGAAACGTATGGAGTTACCACCTATTGGTGGGATCCCGGTCCTGCACTAAGGCCGCCGAACAAATAGCTTAGCGAAGAAACCAACCATATGCAGTTGTGGGTACAGCCGTTGTGTGCACCGCATTCGGTGGGGCCCCCTTTGTGGGGCCACGAAACGTGTGAGTGGTGTGCCAAAATGGGCGTTGTGCGCGTGCGAACGTTGGCATATGGGGCCGAAGAGTATGAGGGGTGTGCCAAAATGAGCGCGGTGGACGCATGCGAACGCGGCGATCGCTGGCATTTGGGCCTTCGGTGGGGCTCCTTATCGGACCACGGAACGTGTGAGGCGTGTGCACAAATTGGCGCGGTCGGAGCATGCGAACGTTGGCATTTGGGCCTTTCCGTCAGGACCCAATTGCCTCATGCCACTTTCGCCAACTGCTCCCTGCGGGCAATCCGGGTATCCCAATCCAGCGCGTCTTGGACTCTCTTGGAATCGGCGCAGTAAGGCTTAAGCCCATCAAGAGGAGGAATATTCAAGAGTAGACACAGAGAGTCTGGGAACGATTGTTCGTCATCTTTAACTATGCTGAACTATTTCTTGGCTCTGTTTAATGCTCCTTCCAAAATCCACTTGTAGGAGGACGTGCCCGACCTAAAGCAAGGCCGAGGCGCACTGGATCTGGATACAAACCGAGCCTCTGGGGGCCAGATCTTTGCCCAACATCCGGGGCGCTTTGGGCCTCTGGGGAGGGAGCTCGAAGCCTTCAGCTGCAGTGGACCTGGGCGCAGTTGTTACCCCGCCCCCCCCCTTTCAATTTAATTTGAATTGTAAAAATTCGAAACGGTGTGATGCTGATATTTATTTTGTTTGCTTTTTTGTTTATATTAATTTACCCCTTCCCCAGACGCCCGCCGCTGCGAGGCTTCGAGCCGCGGCCCCAGATGTCTCCGCGGATTTTTCCGGCGGGCAGGCTCTCTCGCCCTGGAGCCGCGCGTGCGGGCCCCCGGGGGGCGGAAGCCCCGGGAGGCCGCCCGAAGTGCAACAGGCAGAGCGCCGAGCGTGGGTCTTCTCGGGTCGTCTGTCGGCTCGCTGGCGGCCGTCCGAGATGCTGAGGGCACCCCCGGGGGACGCTCTCGGGGAGGCGCAGCTGCTGGAAGGCACCCCCGAGGCTGGCAAGCCGCCGAGAGCCGACGAGGATCTAAGAACACCTCGAACCAGTCTCGAACCCCGGTGCCTGGAGAGCCGCCGATAACCCACGACCAGGCAGGAACATCTCGAACCCCCCTTCCTGCAGTCAAGACGCCGAGAGAAGGGCTGCTTTGGGTTTGGAAGGTGCTCGCGGCTCTCTAGGCAATGCCGTGCTTGTCCCTCCAGCCCTCTTCGTGCACCCAGGCTTCCCTGGTGCCCTCACGAGGCTTCGTTCGCTGCTGAACGCTGCGGTTTGCCGCAGCTTGCCTGCAACGTTGCCCCCCCCCCCCCCCCCCCACGGGCCGCCGCGCGTGCTCGCCCGACCCGGCAGGCGAGCCCGGCGTCGGGAAGACGGCGATCGTGGAGGGCCTCGCCCGCAGGATCATCGAAGGGGACGTGCCGCAAGCTCTCCAGGACTGGCTACGTGGTGCGTGGAGGGTGTTTCTCCTCCTGGGCCACAGCGCGCGTTTTGCCCCTCCCCCCCCTTCAGCCTCCTCCTCCTCCTGCTCCTCCTCCTCCTCCTCCTCCTCCCCCTCGCCTCCTCCCTCCCCCTCTCTCCTCCTCCTCCTCCTCCTCCTCCTCCTCCTCCTCCTCTTCCTCCCCTCCCCTCCCGACGATAACGTACCGCCCCCCCCCCCCCTCGGTGCGCCCCTGGCGCTGCCGCAGTGGGTCCGGCGCCGCCGCCTCTGGTGCCGGGCCCACACGGCGCTGGGGCTGGACGTGGTGTGTTCTACTCCGCCCCGCCCCCCCTGATGGGCTTGTTTTCCACCACCACCACCACCACCATAAGTTGGAGGGGGGAAAGGAGGAGGAGGACGAGGAGGAGGAGGAGGGAGAGGAGGAGGAGGAGGAGAAGGTGGAGGAGGAGGAGGTGGTGGAGGAGGAGGAGGAGGATTTGCCGCTATAGCTCCAAGAAGACAAGATTGCATAATCCACAGCTCTGCTCGAATTTCTCGGCTGGGAGCTGGGGCCACCTTCGGCAGCGCCTCCGGCGCCGCCCCTGGCGCGCACCGCGCGCCAGGGAAGGGGATCCCAGCGCCAATCCGGGAAATCCGCGCGAACCTCCAACAGCGTGTGTGATTATGCCAAATTATGCTCCCCGAGTGTTGGGCTTATTTGTAACTCTCTGTCGATATTAGTGGTTATTATGAGACACGTCTACATAGCAGAGCAGGGGGGCTGGGCTGGGAAGTGGCATGCCGCTCCTTATCAGAAAAATAGCCTTGCCCCGATTTGCGCCCGCTGCGATCGCCGCGACCGCCTCCGAAACCAACCTGGATGTTGAGTTCGGGGTCGGGCATCGCGCAATTGAGGACAAGACCGTGTTCTCGCTGGACATCGGCAGCATGGTCGCAGGTGCGAAGTACCGGGGCGAGTTCGAGGAGAGGCTGAAGGTCCCAAGGAGGATTCCCAGATCCCCTCGCGCCGTGGAAAAATGTGGCGGACGGCTGTTTTGTTACTCAAGGCCTCCGTGGGCCCTCGCCAGGCCCCAGGACCGTCAAGACACGACTCAGGATACAGTCAACCCGCATAGTAAGGATGAGCAACTTTCCCAAGGGTACCCTTGCATCCTTGCCCCTCCGGCCCATCCTTAGCGACGTTCGCTGGCCAACCTCGTTCGAAAAACGTCAACATCGCCTTTTAAGGCCCTTGCACCCTTATCGCGCATCCTTATCTACGGGTTGACTGTAAAGAAGTTCCGGTCATGGGACGGGTCGAGACCTTTCGGGGTCGACGTTGCGAAATGTTTTTGGCCCCCAGCACCGCTACCTGTGCATCAATTCTTCGCCTGTTTGGTGTCTCCTCGGAGGCCCTGGTCGCCACGGCTTCGCGTCGACATTCTGGTCGAAGCGCGCCCCGGGAGAGGTCCAGGGAGCAGCGCTGTCGTTCTCTCGTGTCTGCTTGTTTCCCCCACAGGCGGTGCTGAACGAGATCAAGCAGGCTGAGGTCCATGGGTGGCCCAAGTGTGGTCGGAGCGGATGGGGTCGCCAGTCAGAGCTAGCTAGGATCGGGAGAGATCGCTCCAGAGCGTTCAAGGAAGACTCTCGGAGGACTCTGGAAGGCTCTGGAACGGCCGCGGCGCCCGAGACATCCTCCAGACCCGGACATCTGGCGTCTCGATTTTCAGAGACACGGGTCCCAGACCTCTCGACCACTTCCCCAGAGATGGTTCTTCCTCCCGAGCGGTTTGCTGACCGTCTCTAGGCCCAGCAAGGACCCCGAGAGGGCGAGACATTGGCAAAACCTCTGTCTCCATGTCTCCGAGAGGCCGGATGTCTAGGGACCCGCCAGATTGCAAAGATTCCCGCGACTTTTCCATGTTCCGATGTTGTCCCGTTCCGGGCTTCGTTTTGCGTCGGAGGACTTGCGCGCCACCGCCGATGTCATCGGGGTGCGGCCCGATCCGGGGCCCGGCTCTCTCCATCGCAGCGTCGCCGGTGCATCGGCGATGCGGCGCGGTTTCCAGACCCACGCCACTCTTGCCCTACATGCAGCCCAGACGCTGAAAGGGCGCGCTTGCATTTAGACTCTGGCAAATTCCCCCCCATTCCTCGCCTCGGGTGCTGCTAGGAGTGCCCCTGGCCCAAGGTGCCCCCCAGGATTTCCAGGGAGGCCCCCGCGGCCTCCAGAGCACCCCTCAACGAGGCTCAGAGGGCCCCAAGATGGAGCGACAGGCTGGGGGCACCCTAGGCCCGGGGGTACCTTTGGCAACCCCCGACTTCCCCCCCCCCTCCGCCACCTCTTCGAATAGCGCTGGGCCAGGAGGGCGTGCACGCCTTTTACCGACGTGCGTGGGAGTTCAGATTCCTGCGGGCCTCGCCACACCGTGCCCCTCTCCACAGGGGAGACCTGCTTGTGTGGTCGTCGCAGAGGCGGGCCTTCTGTTAATTATGACCGCACAGGCGAGCCCTGCTTCTGAGCCTTTTCCCCCTGGTGTGGGAAACTATTTCTTTAATTAATCGTTCCCCCCTCCTTTTTTCCTAAATCGTCACGGCGGCAAGGAAGGGGCCTTCGGGGCTCAGGAGCTGCTCCAGTAGTTATGCTGGGGCCGTCCCGCAAGAGTCCAGGGCGGGGGACGCTCGTTGCCCAGGCTCGCCGTGGCCTGGTAGGCCCCGTCGCTCCTTACTCGGCGACTGTGTTTGGAAGGCCTCCTCCTCCTCCTGTCCTCCGCCTCCTCCTCCTCCGCCCTCCTCCTCCTCCTCCTCCTCCTCCTCCTCCTCCTCCTCCGCCCTCCTCCGCCCTCCTCCGCCCTCCTCCGCTCAATGAGGGGAAGATCATTTCTTTCATCGACGAGATCCACACCATCGTGGGGGCCGGCGCGGGCGGCAGCGGCGCGATGGACGCGGGCAATCTGCTGAAGCCGCTGCTGGCTCGGGGCGAGCTGAAGTGCATCGGTGCCACCACGTTGGACGAGTACCGGAAGTACATCGAGAAGGACGCGGCGTTGGAGAGGCGTTTCCAGCAGGTGTTCGTTGCTGAGCCGAAAGTGCCCGATGCAGTCAGTATTCTGCGAGGGCTCAAGTCGCGGTACGAGCTTCATCACGGTGTTCGTATCAATGACCGCGCCCTCGTCGCCGCGGCGATGCTGAGCGACAGGTACATCACCGAGCGCTTCCTGCCCGACAAGGCCATCGACCTCATGGACGAAGCGTGCTCGAAAGTGAAGATGGAGCTGACCTCCAAGCCCGCAGACCTCGAGAGGATGGACCGCCGCATCCTGCAGCTCGAGATGGAGCGCGTCAGCGTCAGCAACGACAAAGACGCCCAGTCTTTGCAGCGCCTGGACACTATCGACTCCGAGCTGGAAACCCTCAAAGCCGATCAGGCGAAGGCTGAGGACGAGTGGGTCAAGGAGCGCGAGAAGGTGAGCAAGCTAACCGAAGTGCGCCAGCTGGTCGAGGACCTGGAGAACCAGCTGGCGGAGGCGGAGCGCAGCTACAACCTGACGCGCTCCGCCGAGATAAAGTACGGCGAGCTCGCTCCCCTGAAGAAGCAGCTGGAGGAGATGGAGGCGTCGGCGGAGGGCGAGAGCAGCGCGGAAGTCACGGAGTCGGACATCCTGCAGGTCGTGGCGATGCAGACGGGAATCCCGCTGGACCGCATGTCCATGGGCGACAAGGAGCGGCTGATGAATCTCGAGGCAGAGCTGCACAATCGCCTCATCGGCCAAGATGACGCCGTCCGCGCCGTGGCAGAGGCGATTCAGCGCTCGCGCTACGGCATGAGCGACCCGAACAGGCCGAGCGCGTCGTTCCTGTTCCTGGGGCCCACAGGCGTGGGCAAGACGGAGCTGGCGAAGTCGTTGGCTGAGTGGCTGTTCGACAGCGAGGACCGAGCAGAGTGGCTGGTCCGACAGCTCGCAGGGCTGTTTTCGATCCCTCCGATTCGATTCGATTCGACATCGGTGGCGTCCCATTCCGATTCGATTCGGCTTCGGATTCCGATGCGGCTTCCGATTCTGTACTGGAGGCATACGAGCCTGCCGATGTCCGCCGATCTGGCTTCTCCCGATTTGGCTGCCTATTGCCGCCAACCCGATTCATTTCGATCGCCGATCCGACTTCTCGACTCGATTCTGGTCTTTCTTGCCCTCGCGGCAGAGAAACATCCTTCCACAGCCACGCTCGGGGGCCACGATGGGCCCTCCATTCCGGGGGTCCTCGCCGGGCGCGAGAAACATCGGACAGCGCGAACCTCTCACGGACGAGCTGTCCAGGGAACAGCAACATCATGATTTCGCGGACCCCCGAGAGGGCATCCCGTCCGAAGGACTCTCTCATCCGCATCGACATGAGCGAGTACATGGAGAAGTTCGCCGTCTCCCGGCTCACGGGCGCGCCGCCGGGGTACGTGGGCTACGAGGAGGGCGGGCAGCTGACGGAGCCCGTCAGGCGGAGGCCGTACTGCGTGGTGCTGTTCGACGAGATGGAGAAGGCCCACCCGGACGTGTTCGGGGTGCTGCTCCAGCTGCTGGACGACGGGCGGCTGACGGACTCGCAGGGCCGCACCGTGGATTTCAAGAACACGATCATCATCATGACGTCCAACGTGGGGAGCGAGGCCATCGCGGATCTGGGCTTGGAGCTGGACGGCGAGGATGCCGCGCAGAAGGAGGCAGAAGTGGCCGACGCTGTGCGCGAGGCCATGGCCAACGTCTTCCGCCCCGAGTTCCTGAACCGCATCGACGACAGCATCATCTTCCGCCCTCTTGGACGGGCGGACCTGAAGCAGATCGCGGGCCTGCAGCTGAAGCGCGTGCAGAAACGCCTGGACGAGCGCAGCATCCAGCTCGAGGTGACCGACGCTGCCCTGGACGTCATCGCGGAGCGCGGCTACGATCCCACGTTCGGCGCGCGCCCCATCAAGCGCTCGATCGTGGCGAACGTCGAAACGCCGATGTCGAAGAAAGGCCTCTCCGGGGAGATTCTGGACGGTGACTCGGTCAAGATAGACAAGGGCCCCGACGGTGAGCTGACATACACCGCGAGCAGGCCCGCGGCCGCCAGCTCCAGTGGGGGGATCATGTCTGCGTTCTCCGCGGCCATGGGGAGAAAACCTGGAGACGCATCTGACTAGTTCGCGCATGCGTTCAGCTCGGCTGGCAGCACGGAAGTGGCAAGAGAGTGGGATGGAAGTACGGAGCGGCGGGGAGTTGCAGGTGAGGATTGCAAGGCTGGGCCGCGCCGACGCTGGCACAGGCAAGTTTTCAGCGCGCGGGCAAGTGCGGATCGATTAGTGTATGCGCACGCACAATGCGCGCCTAGTTGTTTAACCGTTTTTGTTGGCAGCCGGCCGCTCGTTGCCACCACGAAGCTCGTGGCGCCACGCTGGGAGTTGCAGGAGGAGGAAGATGGGAAAGGCCTGGAATGAGAAGGGAATCTCACGATCGATCTCACTATCGATCTCGATACCGATGTCACAACGAATGTCACAGTCAACCTCACTGTCGATCTCACTTTTGATCTCACTCTCCATCCCATTCTAGAGATCTCATCAACGATATCACGATCGGCATTACTATCGATCCAGGTATGGCAGGGCGGGTAGAGCGCTTCTCCTGCGCCCCTTTCGTTGAGCACGCGCAAGCATGGAGCATGGCGCGTGGATGATAGCGACGGGCCCCGTTCCCAGGGCGACATCGGCGCGCTCCGTCGCCAAGTGTGGCGACACTGGCGCCATGTTCTGGGGGGCAGGTTCCCCGATCCGTGGATCCTACGCCCACGCGCCAGATCCACGTATCCGTCATAGGGGATGCTGGCGCGGGCCCGGCTCGTCCCGAGGAATCCTCCTCCTGCTCCTCCTCCTCCTCCTCCTCCTCCTCCTCCTCCTCCTCCTCTTCCTCCTGCTCCTCCTCCTCCTCCTCCTCCTCCTTCTCCTCCTCCTCCCACTCCTCCTCCTCCTGCTGCTCCTCCTCCTCCTCCTCCTCCTCCTCCTCCTCCTCCTCCTCCTCCTCCTCCTTGTCATCCATGCCACTTTGCTTCCCTCCCTTACCTCTCGTCCTCCTGCTCCGCGCGAAGGGCAGCGGCCCGGCGCTGCCTGCACGCTCCGCCGGGCATCGGACGAGAGTAGTTTTTTTCCTCGGTGAAATTCTGACGGTTTGGCTCGCATGGCGTTTTGCCTCCCCCCCATCGCCGCCATGCCATTGCTGGGCCGTGAGAGCGTGCAGGTGTCTCTCGGCCTGCGTGATCTCCAGTTTCTCCCTCGGGGCTCGCCGGGAGACCCCCCCCCACCCCCCCCACCGTGCAGGGAAGCTTGCCAGAGTCCGATCGGAAAACAGGCGGGGGGGCTGGGCGGGATGGGGGGGTACGGCATCTGCTGCATGCGGCCAGTTGTGGCTCCGCCGCCGTGGCGCTCTTTCTGAGGGCCTCTCCCGCGCCAGGGGGGAGCCGTGGGCTGCGCCTCAGAGGCCTCGCCACGGCCGGGAACTGCTGTTGGCTTGCGTGTCGCTCCGCCGGCTCTGGCCCACCACGCCCCGGCGCGACACGCCATCCTCTTTTGCGGTCTCCGCTGGAGTCCCGAAACGGTGCGGTGGCGGACCGTGCGGGGACCTCGGAGTCCCCCAAGACCTCACCGCACGGTCCGTCCACGCACGGTTTTGGGACCTCGGATGTCTCCGGAGCACGACCCGAGTCCCCAAACCGAGCGGTGACCCCGAATGCCCACCGACTCACCACACGGTGTGGTCACCACCCCGTCCACGACCAGAGCCACCACCCCGTGGACGGTGTGGTCACCACCCCGTCCAGGACACGGTGTGGTCACCACCCTGTCCACGAGCAGAGGCCCCCGAGCTCCAGGCGTCCACGTCCAGAGCCTCTCCCCTGCCTCCGGGCCCGCCGGGCGGAGCGACGCGCGGCCCGCCTGCAGGGTACGGGGCCGTCGCCGGGGCCGTCGCCGCGGGGCGCGTTTGGCACGGAGTCCTGGCCGAGAGAGCCTCTGCCGCCCGGCCCGAGGGTCGCAGGCGGGGGGGCGGGAGGGCCGCGAGAGGGCCGAGCTCGGCGCGGGGGGGGGGGAGGTGGCTTGGCATCGCTCGGACGTGTGCATGTTTCCTTCGGCGAGGGCCCTCCGAGGAGCATCCTTGATCATTTGGCGAAGAAGCCACGCACGAAACCGAAGGAAAAACACACAGGGAATGGAGGTCCGAGCGATGGCCAGGTGGGGGGGGGCAACGTCAGACGGGGATCGGCTCAGGGGGGACCGCGTCGACCCCCGATCGCAGGACGTTCCAGCCTATTACTTCAGCCTGGATCGCCAGGGCGAGTTTTGAGCGCGGGCCCTCGGAGGCGATACTCGTTCGACACTTCGCCAGCGCGTCGGGTAGACACCGTGTCGATGCTTCTCCTGGTGCTCAACATCATGTCTGGCATCTGGTCCTTCTGTGCGATGGGAAGCACATAACCCCCATCTTGCCCACGCATCGCCGATATCGGCCAGAGGGCAACACCGCCAAGGCATGTCAGGCTTCGCTCGCGGGGGGCCGGTCGCCGAGATCTGCTGGCGACGCGTAGCGCCGCTGCTTTCAAGTCTGCGTTTCACCCCTCCTGCTCCTCCTGCTCCTCCTCCTCCTCCTCCTCCTCCACCTCATCCTCCCCCTCCTCCTCCTCCTCCTCCTCCTCCTCCTGATCCTCTTCCTCCTCCTCCTCTGCTCCTCCTCCTCCTCCTCCTCCTCCTCCTCCTCCTCCCTCCTCCTCCTCCTCCTCCTCCTCCTCCTCCTCCTCCTTCTCCTCCTCCTCCCACTCCTCCTCCTGCTCCTCCTCCTCCTCCTGCTCCTCCTCCTCCTCCTCCTCCTCCTCCTCCTTCCCCGGAGCTGGTCGCCCCCCCCCGTCCTCTCCGTGTCCCCTCCCCTGACTTGGCCAGGACCACAAAGCCAGGTCTGCCGAGGCTGGCGTTTTTGTTTGGGTGGCGGCAGTTCCGGTCAGTGGAGAGGGGCGGGGGGGGCCGGGCCCAAGGGAGCGAAAGAAGGACGCACACGTACACGAATCCACGCTGGTTCAGAGAGTACGCACTGCTAAATGTTCATATCACGCGGCCAGTTTCGCGGATCGAGGGGCCGTGTTCATGTACATAGCTGGGCGCGTACGTCCTTCTGTGGGTTCCCTAGGGGGGGGCGTCCCCCTGTACACATCACTGTACCAGGCCCCACTAAACCCAGTTCTGCCAACGCCCGACGGTGGCAGATCATGGGAGCATGGTGTACCCTCTTAATTCCGTCGCTAGCGGCGCTCAGCGAGAGCGCCGAGTTGGCGTCGGCCAGCGTCGATTAACGTCGATCTAGCGCGGGTTAGCGCCAATTTAACGTCGATGTAACGTCGATTTGCACAGCGGCGATTTAGCGTCGCCTGGCGTCAATCCGCAAGAGCCGCCAGGATGGCCTGGGAGGCTCCCGAGAGCTGCCGCCGAACCCAGGCCCCGCTGGATGGGGGGGGGCCGGCAGGGTCCGCGGCGAAGGCCTGGCGCGGCACAGTGGCCCTCCCTGTGTGGGGGTGCGGCCTCCCCCGCCTCCGCGCGCAGCGCGCGCGCGAAGGGCGAGGCGCGCCGCGGGCTGCAGCGGTTGGCGCTGCGCCTTCGGGGGGCCTCGCCTGCTCGCCTTGCCCCCCCCGAGCTGACGTCTTCTTGCCGTGCCCGCCGCGGGCGCCCGATGCGGACTCGACGCGGACGTGGCGCGGATTCGGCGCGGACCCGACGCGGATTCGACACGGGCCCGACGAGTCCGACGCGGAGCCGGCGCGGATGCGACGCGGACAGGGCCGCGACGGGGCAGACGAGGTCCCCCCAAGATGCAGCACGCAGCAGTGGTGCGGGCGCCCAGCCCCCTCTGCGGCTGCGCCTCGCAGGGGCGGCCCCGAGGGTCAGACCACGGAGGCTCGACCACGCCTGGCCGAGGAGATTCGAAGAAGAACAACGGCAGAAACATAACCTTTTGGCGCTCCGCGCGGATTTCTTGGCTCCGCGCCTGGGCCCCCCGGCGGCGCCTCGGGCGCCGCCCCTGGCGCGCTCCGCGCGCCAGGGAGGGGGGTCCTGGCCAGATCCAAGAAATCCGCGCGGAGCGCCAAAAGTTTATGTGTATAGCGTTTTTTTTTCTTCTAGATACAGCGCGCGCGCAGCGACAGTCTCCCAGCCGCGACCGGGCCGCACCGCCCGCCCGTATGAGCAGCAGAAAAACATGTGTGCGTGTGCCGAGCAGTGGCGAAGCGCCCTGGCTCGCCCACAGGCCCACCAGAGGATGTGCCAAGAGCCCTCTGTGGTCTGCACGAGATGTTCTTAGAACGTGTCTGGCTGGGGCTGCCTTGGTTGAACGCATCGCGCTTGTCCCCTAAGAACGTGGCTTCCGTTGTGAGAGCATCCCTGGGTTCTGCGCGCATGTCGTGGTAGGCCTCTAGGAGTGCTGGGACGGCCGGTCCCTGCTCAAAGCATGTGCGGGCGGGCCCCTTTGTGCTGTGCGCCCCTGTGGCAGCCCACTCCCTCCAGCCGCCATCACGGGCCACTGCTGGGCCAGCTGCCGCCCTCCACCGTTCGCCACGCCCACGTGCCGAAGGAAACCGCAGGCTGACCATGACCACGATGTCGCGGGATCCTGACGACGCCGGCCTTGGTCTTGGTCGTGGCCCATACCGGCCGTCGCCGATTCGCGCAGATGATCCACGAATCGACGGTGACCAAGATGGGACGTCGCCGGCTCGCCCGGATGATCCACGAATCCACGGTTACAGAGATGGGACGTCGCCGATTCGCGCGAGCACTCCACGAATTGACAGTGACCAGGATTCGGAGGTTGCCAGGAGGATTTGTTGGACAAGGTTAGTTTCGCCCACGTGCGCGCCAGAGAGCAAGCCTCGACGGCGTCGGCCTGCGCAGGGGCCACACCATGCAGCGAACAGCCCCGCCCCGCCCGCCAGACCCGCCCGTTCGGGCCCGCCCGCACTAATTGCTCCTTCTGCTCCCTATGGGGCCACGAAACGCTGCACTGGATGGGGGGACCGCATGCGGGCCCCCCCCCGTCGGGTTTTCAGTGGAGCTCCCTATGGGGCCACGAAAGGCTGTACTGGGTGGAGGGGGGCGCATGCGGGCACCCCAAATAGGGCCTTCCCTATGGGGCCACGAAGCGCTGTACTGGGAGAGGGGGGGCGCAGGCGAGCACCCCCACAGGTGCCTTCGGTGGAGCTCCCATTTGGGCCACGAAACGCTGTACTGGGTGGGGGGACCGCACGCGGGGTCTCACACTAGGGCCTTCAATGGGGCTCCGTATGGAGCCACGAAGCGCTGTACTGGGTGGGGGGACCGCATGCGGGCACCCCAACCAGGGCCTTCGGTGGAGCTCCCTATGGGGCCACGAAGCGCTGCAGTGGGTGGGGAGAACGCATGCGGGCACCTCCGCGGGGGCCTTCGGTGGAGCTCTTCATGAAGCCACGAAAAGTTGCACTGGGTGGGGGGACCGCATGCGGGCATCCCCCACTAGGGCCTTCAGTGGAGCTCCCGAGGGCCAGGAAACGTGTGAGGGGTGTGCCAAAGTGCAGGGGGTGATGGGAGGAGGGGGAGGAGGGGGAGGAGTGAGGAGACGCGGGGTGCTGTCTCTTGAAAACGAGGACCCGACACCACAGGATGGTTGGGAAAAACACAACACCTGTTGATTCAGAATCTTCAGCATATGCTACCAAGTGGGCTTCGCGCGCATGTCGAAATCATTCGAACGCCCTTGCATGCGTGCCGTCGCGAAAACCCTCCGCACAAACACAAGGCGAAGTGCACACGCGCGCGTCGTCGCGCGCAGTCCGAATTCCGTCCAACATTTTCGCGGTCGCACCGGTTTCAGAACCGAGTGTGCAAGCAGCAGATAAACACATGTGGTTTTGCAACATCAGTTTTCAAAAAAAACAACGTGCGTTCGCGCCCCCGCGAATTCTTAAGAAACCCAAGCGTTTCTCATCATGCTCATTGAATTCTGTCAAATTGGCTTTTGGGCTTTGGGCGCCGCATGCCGACATCATTCGCACGCCCTTGCGCGCGTGCTGGGGGGGCATGGCCCGTGTCAAATAATATCATGCGGGCCACTCTCGCGCGTCGGCCGCGCGCGCATGCCGAACTCGTTCCAAAACCTTCATCACCCATGCGAGGACGCCGTCATCGCCGTCGGCGTGATCAGTATCGGCGCCCGCACTGGCCGCGCCATCGTCGTTGTCAACATCGTCACCAACATCGCTACTATCATCATCATCGTGTCTACCGTTGCCGATGTTGCCATGATACCGCGCCCGCCCAAGTCGCAGACTCGCATTGACGTGCCCTCTGGGATGTGCCCAGCGGTCAGCGCCACCGCGGCCGCGTCGGTCGCGCCAGATTAGCTGGCCGCTGCGCGCGCGTGCTTGGGTTGGCGCGGCCGCAGAGATGCACCAGCCACCGCCGAACACTCATCGCAATCACCGCTGCATGGGCTTCGCAAACCAAGTTGCGGGTGGGTGGGTGGGAGGTTTGCAAGAGCATGGGAGGTGGGCCAACGCGGTGCAGCGTAGTCGATTGCATCGCGTATATTGCACTACGCAGGTTTGCAATACATTGGTTGCACCGCGCAGAGAACACCACATATATTGCACCGCGTAGATTGCACCGCGTAGATTGCATCACGTGGGCTGCGTCGCATACATTACACCACATAGGTTACACCGCAATGATGACTGCAAGACCCTACCGTCTGGGGCCCTACGCTGGTTAACATTATGTACGTATATATGAGATACTTTGCTTACGACAGTGTTTGGTCCTCTACTGTCAGGGGCTTTGGCTTACCGTGTACGGCTTTCGACGCACCCCGCTTCGACGCGGAACGTTAACCCCGTCCCAGTGCGCACAGCGTCAACGTCCCAAGCTCTGCCCAGGACCCCGCGCCGCGAAGCGAACCTACAAGCTGTGCAACATGACGAACCAACAAGACACACCCATACTCATAGTGGGTTCGGAGAGGGCTATGGGTGCGTGTTGTCGGATGGGGGCTCCCGCTCGAAAAGGAGCGTTCCCCAAGGTCCGACAACCCCCGCACACATACCCAAAGCCCCCCCCGAAACAAGCCCCCTATGGGTGTGGGTGTGTTTTGTTCGTTCGTCACAAAAGTTCGTGACCGTCGGGCGGCCACGGAGGAAGAGCATGAGGGAAAGGAAAGCACGAGGAAGCCTATGTAACATCCAACTGTTCTCGTCGACGGTTGGGTCGTATTAGTCCTTTCTTTTGTCGACTTCAAACGAGATGGCATCATATTACCTGAACAGCTGCGGGCGCCAATCCCGCAGGTGCTCAGCGGATGGGTCCCCGTTGGAACCCTCGGGCGGGAAGCCAGAGTGCACAGCGCGCTGCCGAGCGCCCGCCAGGGGTCACAAACGTGCCAGGGGTCCGGCCTTTCGGAGACGGCGGCCGGGCTGCTCAGCAGGCATGGGGGCCTTCGTGGGAAGGCCTAGCGGCCCCTGTGGGGGGTGCTTCTTGGGCGCCAGGCGGGCTTCTAAGAAGCTCCCTTGCCTTCTGAGAAGCCGCGCCCGCCTTCTTAGATGGCCAGCCCCCTCGCGCCGTCCCCTCAGGCCCAGGCCTCACAGATGGGGTCCGAGGTCGACGGGGTCGGAGGAGCGCGCCGCATCGCCGAGCGCATCGGCGATGCGGCTCGGTGTGGGGCCCGATCTCCACTCCGACGGCGCCGATGCATCGCCGACGTCGCCGGTACAATTGGCGATGCATCGCCGTCGTCGCGTGAGGTCGCTATGTCTTCTCGCGTACACGCCGGTCGTTGAAAGTAGGTATTTTTGGATTGCCAGATCGCAATCTACTTCAAGCGCCTTCCTACTTCAAGAATCGACACGCTGTTGCTGTGTTCTGTTATTCTCTGGGAGGACCTGGACCCAATCCACTATATCCGCCTTCCTACTTCATGTTTCTACCTACTTCTTCCGCCCGACGTGTACGACCCGCACGTTGTCGTCGCTCACTTGGGGTGCCGCCCAGCACTGCGTCCCGCCACAGGGGCCTCGAGGCAGCGGCCGCCGAGGGCGCCGCGGTGCACCTGCGGCACGGCCTCGAGGCGGCCGAGGCGGCGGCCGGGGCGGCAGGCGGCAGCGCGGAGGCGCGGGCGCGGGCGGAGTCTTGCTGGGGCACCCAAGTGGGGTCCGAGTACTCCAGATTTCGTAATAAAGGGAGGGGGTCTCATTTCGGGGGGGGTCTCTTCCAGGCTGTCTTGGAGGGCCTGGGGGGGTCTGGGGACGATGTTTTGGAGGGTTCTCCCACGGGGGAGGTCTGAAATGGCTTGTCTTGGAGGGTCCAGACCCCCTCCCTTTTATTACGAAATCTGGAGTAGGTGGGGTCGGAGGGTCGCGCCGAATCGCCGATGTATCGCCGATGCGTCGGCGATACGTCGGCCACGTCAGTGATGCATCGGCGACGTCGGCGTGGAGAGAATCGGGCTCCACATCGGGCCGCATCACCGATGCATCAGCGGCGCGGCGCGATCGTCCGACCCCATCTACTCCGAAACGCCAAAGGGACGATGGAGAAGAAACAACTACTCTGAGATCCTGGCGTCGCAATGTTTGTGACTAGGGGGGGTGCGAATCATTTCGGGCCCGGGAACCGTCATAGATCGAACCGGTGCGAAAAATGCAACAAACAGATTGTGCATGGGGCTCGGGTCGTGATTTTTCACGGTGCTGCAGTGTTGTCGCGCCTTCGGACAAGGGGGGACGTGTGTTGAGGTTGGAGCTGGTTTGGGGGGGGGCTGAGGTGGCCCATCACAGCTTCCTGCCAGCAGAAAGCGGGAAGAGAGGGGCTCGTCGCCACGGCTGGGCGCGGCTCGCAAGACTAGTCGGTTTCGTTCTCGGGGGCATGTGGCAGTTAAACAAAAACATACGGTGGGGGCGTTCGGCACGGAAGGTGCCGAGGAGGCTTCGGACCCCAGAGGGTTCATTCTCTGAGGAGGGCTACGGTGGTGCCCATGGTCAATCCTCAACGGGAGCTCTACCGTCGTCTAGACTCTAGATTCCACATCACATGTTTCTTTGTCCAGTGCCGCATGCCCTCACCGCACGTAAACAGAAGCTCTCGGAGATCCCTGCGGATCTCTTGGATCGGCGCTGGGCCCCGTAGCGGCGCCTCCGGCGCCGCCCCTGGCGCGCTCCGCGCGCCAGGGAGGGGTGTCTGGCGCGGATCCAAGAGATCCGCACGGACCTCCGAGAGTTTAGGCATTTCTGATCAATTGCTCCTCTGGATGGGCTCTGCATGTCCGATCGATGGCTCCTCTAGATGAGCTTTGGAGGGGACGGACGGATCAATTATGTGTAAACTGTTGCCGCTTCGCCCGTGAGGGGTTGGGGCTCCGGAGGGGGCGCATGGAGCCCCAAAGCGCCCATGCATCGCCGAGAGAGGGGCCCGAGATCCTCACGCGGCCCAGGGCCGTGCGGAGTCGCCATCGGGAGCCCATCGTCGATCCACTGGCGACGTGTCGTCGACCCCGGGTGCGCGACGCAAGAGAAACCCTGAGATCCGGGCGTTGCCATCTTTTCGCGGCGTTCCCTGACTCCGGTTCCGACTTAGTTTGGTGTTTTTTTCCGACTTAAATTTAAGTCGAAAACGGAGTCAAAACTTCAAAACAATTAAGTCGGAAATCTATGGTGCCGCATAGATTTCCGACTTAAATTTCTGAATTTCCGACTTAAATTTCGGCGTCGCCGACATTTAAGTCGGAAGTCCAGAAATTTAAGTCGGAAATCAATACCGCACCCGAAATCAACCGTGCGCTTAGGGTAGATCAACAGTCAGGTCCGCGTCGTGCCGCTTCTCAGAGGATGTCGAATCCAGCGCAAAGTGCGCATGCCCATGGTGCGACTGAGGAAAAAAAGGGGCATCATTCGATGCCTCGGCGCTGCCAGCGTGGGGCTGGTGCCACCGAGTTAAGTGGAATGTGCAACAGCACTCGAGGCACTGGCGCAATCAGAGTAGCCTGGCTCGTGATCCAGAGCGGCAAAACATATTATCGTGTAGCGCTGATGCCCTTGAGGGTTTGCATGGCCTTGCGTCGGGCAAGGCTAGGAAAAGCACTCGAGGTGCTGGCGCAACACAAGCAAGATCGACCTTGAACCAGCATGGCAGGAGGGGAGGAGGAGGAGGAGGAGGAGGAGGAGGAGGAGGAGGAGGAGGAGGAGGAGGAGGAGGAGGAGGAGGAGGAGGAGGAGGAGGAGGAGGAGGAGGAGGAGGAGGAGGAGGGAGGAGGAGGAGGAGGAGGAGGAGGAGGAGGAGGGAGGAGGCGGAGGAGGAGCAGGAGGACAAGGAGAGAAGAAAAAGAGGAGGTAGAGGAGGAGTAGGAGCAGGAGGAAGAAGAAAAGTAAGAGGAGGAGGGGGGAGGAGGAAACACGGTGGGAGGAACGGCAGGAGGAGGAGGAGGAGGAGGAGGCGGAGGAGGAGGAGGAGGAGGAGGAGGAGGAGGAGGAGGTTGGGCGAACGGAACCGCCTGCCGCCTCGGCGGCACTCGAGGCTCGAGGAGCTGGGCCGCTCCTCTAGGAGTGTGAAAGGGGACGGCTCAGCCGTCGCCCCACCCCTGGACGTAGCGAGCCCAACCCTTCGACCCCCCTGGGCTCTTCAGCCACCCTCCAGGGGCCAGAGCTCTTCGCAGCGATCCCGCTGGGGAGGGGGAGGGAAGAGGTGGAGGAGGAGGAGGAGGAGGAGGAGGAGGAGGAGGTGGATGAGGAGGAGGAGGAGGTGGAGGAGGAGTGAGCTTCTCGCCCCGCGGCCACTGCGCTGTCGCTGGCTGTTGCGCTACGTGCCGCTGCGCTCTGCTCTCCGCGCCGACGCCGTCGGAGTCGTCCGTCGCCCTCCCCTTTTCCGTGCCTGTCTCCCTTCCCCCCCTCCCTTCCTTCCCTTCCCTTCCCTCCCTCCCTCCCAGTTTCCCCCTCCTCCCTCCCTTCCCTCGGCCTCCCTTCCCTCCCTCCCTTACCCCTCCCTTCCCTCCCTCATCCCTGTCCCTTCCCCCTCTCCCTCCCCCTTTGTCCCTCGAGGGCTCAGGGCTACTTCCTGCGCCTACCCTTGGCCTTCGCCTTGGCCTTCATCTTGCCCTTCATGGGCATGCCCTTGGCCTTGCCCGCGGCCTTGCCCTTGGCCTTGCCCTTGGGGGCGCCCTCGTCTAGCTCGCGCGGCTTGTCCTCCCCTCCCTGCTTTTCAAAAGGAGGGGAGGGTCGGCAGCGGCAGTCCCTCCTCTTCCTATTCCTCCTCCTCCTCCTCCTACTCCTCCTCCTACTCCTACACCTACTCCTCCTCCTCCTCCTCCTCCTTCTTCTCCTCCACATCCTCCTCCTGCTCCCTCCTCCACTTGACGTGGTCCTCCTGCTCCTCTTGCTCCTCCTGCTGCTCCTCCTGCTCCTGCTCCTCCCCCCTCTTTCCTCCCTCTTCCTCTTGCTCCTCCTCCTCCTCCTCCTCCTTCTCCTGCCCCCTCCTGCTCTTGGGGGGGGGCATCTGGGAGCGCACTCGGGCTATATTGGAGGCCCGATCGATTCAGCCTCGGGCCATGTTGGAAGCCATTTGAGGGCCACCTTGGGCGAGCCACCCCCGAGATCAATCCACGCCGCAATGCGAACACGAAACCGCCCACACATCCAGTTGTGGAGGACGTTTGCAGCGAGAGCTCCATTTTTTTCAAGACAACCTTTCATGTCACACCTCGCTCGACGTGTCCAGTTTGTGAGGACATCTCCAGCGAATCCCTTCCTGTTTGTGCCGCGAGCATGTGCGATACCGTATCCAACGGAATCGTCATGTACGAGCTTCGACATCCCCCCACCTTGCAATGTGGTGGTGATGTCTCGAGCGAGTAATGGCCCAACCATATTGAACGATCGAACAGCTCAATTCATTCAGCATGGCCATACTTCGCGGATAGATTGAGCGGAATCGCAATGTTCGGGTTTATAGGTGTGTGAGGAGGTCTCGAGCGACACGGCCAACACATGATAGCTCGTCAAGCGAACCATATGGTTTTAATCGTGATCCTGTATTCGTTTCGCGAGTTTGTTGTTTACGTGTTGTTATCTTGTATTCCAGTAAACCACTCCCAACAATGTATCCTTCCGTTGTTGGATGGATGCCCAAACATGGTGTTCCTGCTGATGCTACTTTGACATTGCGGTGGTGGTTGTGGTCATGATTGCTGTGGGGGGTTGCATGTTCGATGCTTGTCAACCTATGTGTTTGATGTTTGTGTGGTGTGTGTTGCTGTGGCGTTATGTGCTTGTTTGTTTGTACGTTGTTGTTCGTTTTGTGTGTTTATAGTATATGTTGGTATGTCTGTGGTTTTATGGTGCGTCTGTCTGTTTATTATTGTTGGTATGTGTCTGCCTTGCTTGTTTGTTTAGGTGTGTCAAGGTTGTTTTGCCTGCTCGGCTACCAGTCCGATCCATACACCATGATGCAATGCATGAACCACTGGTGTTTGAACATTACTTTAGCAGGGACGAGGTGTGCCGCTGTTCCAGCAGCACATGCCTGTGCGATTAATTTTATCTTGCCCATGAGCGTTTCGTCAATCATGGTTGCGCCGTGGCGCGGGTGCATCTACATGGCTCTGTCTGACATGTGCCACAACCAATAAAATTTCGATGGCTCCGACCAGAGCAAAGCACCCTCACGATCTGCCTTGACCGCCAGCGCTGTGTACACGACCAAGAAACGCTGCGTGCAATCGCGGAACTCTTCCGCAACTGGGACGGGGAAAAACATGTGATTTGAATATTCGCTAAACTTGAAATGAATACTTAATTGGCAATCAAACAACTCCTTCACTGCCTCGAAATCATTGTGACCACGAGCAAATTCATCCCATACTTTGGAAAGGGGTGCCACCAAATCGCGAGCCTCGATGCCTTTCCCCTTCAGCTTGGGGTAATGGCTGAACGGGGAACTCTCGTCCGTGAATGTACCAATCCCAATGTTTGTGTATTGGCAGGACACGCGCATTATTTCATATTGCTTTGAAATGCTGGCCCACACTGCTTCCATGGTCTCGCTGGAACTATTAGTTAAAATTTTGAATACCAGGAGAATGAGCACAGACCCAAGCATATATTGGAGAGTGCCCAAATGCATCGCATGCAACTCATCGGGCTCAAGATTGAATTGGCTCACGTGCGTGAGGCTAAAAATCCAATGCAAAAATTTACCTGCATACAGTGATCGCCATTATTGCCGCGTGTATGGTGTGGTCTTCCACACAGCATCGGGACCAACGTTTGTGAATCCCAGCGCACGAAGCCTAGAGCCCCGCCTTGCTGGGCAGAGGTCGCACAGGTCGTTAGCATTGTAATGTCTCAACCGGAGCGTTTTGGCATAGTAGTCCAGGTCCCCTTTAAGCGAAAGCAATACCAAGAAATGCCCCCCTGCAAGTCGTTCTCCAGCCAACCTGCCGTCCGTGGAACCAGCATCGTATTCCATTCTGTCCCACGTAAGTCGTGGCCACACCCCAAGGTAATTGTAATGTAGAGGCCATGTAAAAATCGACCACATCATATCCTCCGAAACTTGTTTACCGTATTCATCTACAACAAGGCCACTTTCAAAATAACCAAACGCGTATTGTTTTATGTTCTCGCACGCGCCTTTTGCCCACATGCTGGAGAAACTGAATGCTTCATATGATGTTGTTCCAGTCTTCCCAACTTTATAAACAGGAACAGCATCGCCATGAAGGGAAACTGGGATTGCATAGTTTTCCCAATCGCGTCGGCGCAAGCATGGGTGGTCGAGCAATCGTGGGTCTCCCCGCTTGACGAGTTCGCTCCAACATTCAATCCTGGCGTCTTCTGCAACGTGAGAGCCTAGGAATAGATCGTTGAACCTGGCCCTATCGTGCAAGTAGTAATGCGCCATTGCGACATGCGGCAGCACGATTGGGAACTTCACAGAAACATTGTTGTCAACGTCGCCTTGTATTATTTTTGCCTTCCGAAACGGAACCTCGAATATCGATGCAGTCACTGACCGAGGGGAACCAAGGAAATTCAACAGCGCCTCGTGTACATGGGACGAGTTGCCTCGGTCACCCAACATAGCTAATCTCTTGAGAGACGCGTGCACATGGTCAGGGCTGAGGCACAATGATCTAAGCAAACTCGCCTGGTCATCGTATTGCTTCGACGCAATCCTCTGCACATCAGGGGCGGAATATTTGCCGAGGGACCAACCGAAAATCAACTCTCTCACTATAATGGGCTCGCCCAGCGTTGCCTCGCTAGGCGTACCCGCGTCGATGCCGAACGGTACAAGCTTTCGTTTGCGGTTGTGCCGACCTTTTGGGGGATCGCCGTCGGCATCTTCCATGCATCCTCTGAGCTAAAATAGCTTGGGCCAAAATGACTACGCACCTGAGGTTGGGAAACATAAACTAGGGATGCACAGGGGTGAAGGTAGCGTGTATCATCGCACCTCGCCCACATGATGTCCACGGGCGGCAGGGTGTGAGCGCAGCGGCAGTTACCCGCCAAGCAAGTATTTTCAGAGAGAACTTGTTCGACACGCCTTGATGCATTTCCTTAGCGAAGCCGCATCCACATGAACTCAGGACTTGGAGCGAGCGATGCTACACAATGCTATGAAAGTATATTGCAACGGCCTTACGGCCGTTGCCGCCGACCTTGAAGATGACGAAACACAACGCGAGGATAGGCAAGAGGAGGAGGATGAGAAGGCCTTATGGATGTTGATTGGGGTCTCGTGGTTAATTAACCTCTCGGGAGCCTCTGGAAGGCAACTTGAAGCCTCTGTGGGGCCGTTGTGGGGCCTCTTGGAGTCTCTGTTGGACATCTTGGGGCTTCTGGAGGCAGTATTGGGCGCATATTGGGGGCTTCGTGCGACCGCATGCGGGTCCCTTGTGGCCGTTTCGGGTGCCTCTTGGGGCTTCCTGGGGGAGTCTTGTGTATGTACGTGTATGTGACGTTCCACAACGTTGTGGAATGTTCGACAAACTCGTGGACATTTCCACGATTTTCGTGGAAATTTCCACGACATTGTGGAAATGTCCACAAACGTTTGGAATCGGTAACGATTCTATTGACATCGTGCACTCGCGACTGTATGTAAGTGCACTATCAATTGCACTTGTCCGAATCGGAACGCTGACCCATAGAGCTCGAAACCTGCTGCTATTATGCACAAGTGACCCTCCCATGGTCCAAGATCGCAAGCCGCTTGCGGGCCTTCGTGATCATGGCCAGCTCCTTGTCGATCTCGTCGCACGCCTGTTGGGGGCTGGGCGCGCCGTCGCTGCCGTAGTCATTTACCCAGGTTTGTTTCGTGAGTTAGGTTTAAGTGTGCGAAGTTCTTTCGGGTGGTGAGGAGAAGGATGAGGAGGGGGAGGCAGGAGTGAGGCTGAGGAAGGAGATGAGCAGGGGGGCATCAGGAATTACATGACGCTTAAGGACGCAAATGATGAGGAGGAGAGGGGAGGTGATGAAGGTGAAGGAGGATGAGGAGGAGGAGGAGCATCAGGAGATACGGGGTGATGGTGGGTGATGTTGTTTTGGCGCCCAACCTTGTACGCAGCCTCGGACTCCTGGAGGGCCTGCTTGATCTTGAGGCCGTTGGAGGCGATCGACCCGAGCAGGATGGAATCGAAGAGCGACACGTGCACCTTGAGCTGCTTGATGCTGCCGACGGCGGCCTCCGCAAGGGCGGTCTGTGCCCTGCTCGGGTTCGAGCTCTTACGGATCTCTGCGACCTTCGCCATCATGTCGCGAAGGGGGCTCTCGCAGGAGTCGTGGCACGACTGCAACGTGTCCCAGCCAAATTTGCTCGGCACCTCGCTCACGCCAGATGAGGAGACTCCGCGTTTACCGTCGGCCACCACCTTGGCCTCGGAGAACGACGCCACGGCGGACTCGATGGCGTTCTTGTCGCTCTTGTCTTTGATGGTGCCCTTCCTCGTCAAGGTCACCTGCTCGGTTTTCTGGGTCACCTCGCTCTCGATCTCCGACTTCCACCAGTAGAGGCCCCACTTGTTGATGATGTCGCCGTCGTCGATGCCTCGCTTGATCTCGCTCATCCGCTCCTCGCGGGTGTTCCCCGCGACCTGGCCCAGCATCTGCGTCAGGCTGATCCCAGTGGCCAGCTTCGCCCTGCCCTGCGTGCGACTGCCTAGATTGGTGCAATGGGTACAGCCTTCCCATCTTCAGTCTCGCCCTCTTCTCCCTCGATCCTCGTGCTCTGGGTGGGGGAATGTCTGCCCTCCACGTAGGGGCACGAATTCCCTCGTCCAGAGGACGAGGAGAAAGAGGACGAGGAGGGCGAAGAGGAAGATGGGAAACAAGTAAACATTGCATCTGCCAGGGTGCCCGTGATCGTCTCCGCCCACTTCTCCGAGTCGGCCGTCACCTGGATCTTCACCGCTTGCGAGTCCGTGGCAGGGATGCTCGCGTTGACGATCTTGCGCTGAGCGGACTTGTCGTTGTTGCGGATCGCATCGGCCCAACTCTCTTGAACGGACGTCGGGAGGCTCTTCAAGTTGTTGAGGAATGCCGCTCGTTGCTGCTTCGTCCACGGATCATCGTTGTCGACGGGGAGCTGCTTCCCGTGGAAGTCCTTGCCGTACTCGACCGTTGTAGCCGCAACTTTGTCACCACGTTGGCACTTGCTGTCGTGCTCGTCCTCCTGCGACGCGGTGACTGCGTCTGCGCTGCCCCAGTCAGCAAAAGCACCTGGCGACGCACGAGCAGGCTTGCGTTTCGGCCCCATAGGCTGCAGAGAGAAGAGTCCAGAGTCCCCTGCGAGGCTATCCAGCTTTGAGCCTAAACGGCAACGGAGGAGGACGAGGAGGAGGAGGAGTTCTGAATAGATGGGATGGTTTGTTTCCTATCCCTTAGACGCGCCTGCGATGCTACATTTAAGGGGTTGTCGTTGTACTAACTGCATGCATATGTATTTTGTATTCGGGATGTTTTGTTTGCCCGTGTTTACGGGGGTACGTGCGTGCTTGCTTGGGAATTTAGATGGGTACGTGCGTGCTTGCGTGGGAATGTGTCCCCGACCGTTTGGGAATTTAAGGGGGTGCGTGTTTCGAAACCGTTTGTGAATTTAGGGGGGGGAGTGCGTGTCTGTTTGGGACTTTGAAACTCGTTTAGGGATTTGGAATCGTACTTATCGCTGCAAGGTTACAGTCGACGGCTTGCCACCAGGAGCCTCCATCGCCCCCGCCGACGGCGACCCGACAATCGGACATCTGAAATGTTGCTCTCGTCGAGCCGCAAGGCGTGGCAAACCGAATGGTGGCTAGCAGAAACGGGGAGGAGGAGGACGAGGAGGAGGAGGAGGAGGAGGAGGATGAGGATGATGAAGAGGACTTGCAGACACGGTGAGGAGGAGGAGGAGGAGGAGGACATGATGAAGAGGAGGAGGGGAGAAGGACAACCGAAGAGGATGGATGACAGCTGCGACGCTACCGATTTTTTTTCACTCCCGAGCCAGCCTGCACGATCGTGCTTGGGTCACTCGCCCGTCCAAAGAGGAGCTCCGCATGTGCATCGCCGAGGCAATCGTGCTAACCACCTCTCCTCCTCCTCCTTCTTCCTCCTCCTCCTCCTCCTCCTCCTCCCTTTCTCCTCCTCATCCTCCTCCTCCTCCTCTGCAGCGCGTCTCTAGGGAGCTACTACCTACCTGCAAGCCGTTTCTACGGTTCAGCCTCGGTGCGCGAGTCCTTCGCTCGCGTGCTCTACGCTGGGTGGGTTGCCTTCCATTGGTCGACAGCTTGCTTTGCCGCCGCGGCGGCTGTTTTTTTGGCAGACTCTGGTGTGTGACCTTCCTTCAGCAGCTTTTCTTCAGGGGGGTGTACGCTGCCGAGTGGATCTTGTTGATCGTCTTTGCCCGTTCTTTTGCCTGGTCCTTGCCAGCACTGACCTCTGGAGCGGCGCCCTTGGGTTCGGGAACTGGGGCGCTCCTGTTTGCAATTGCAGCAAGCTTCCGCTTCCTAGGGTTCGTCTCCAAGACGTCGTGAAGAATTGCGTCATCCTGCGCTGTGCTCGGGCTCCTTCGTAAGAAGACTGAGGACTGCACGTGATAGCTCGAAATCGTGCTAAGGAAACGTGCACATGCATAATCACACGTGCGCATTGCAGTGTAGTGATTAATATCTACACTACAATGCACACTATGTTTGTGTTGACGTATTGTTACGTCTGCGTATGTTCACACATCGTATCTCGCTCATGTACCCGTGGGGGGGGAGGGGGAGGGGAGGGAGGAGGAGGAGGAGGGAGGAGGAGGAGGGAATCTCTATCTTGGAATTCGGAGGTGTTTTCTGTAAAACACCTCCGAAATCCCAAGGCCCCAGCCCCGAGGGGGAGGAGGAGGGAGGAGGAGGAGGAGGAGGAGGAGGAGGAAGGTGGAGGGTGGTGGTGCGTGCCATCATGCGAGCAATCCTCGTCTTCTCCTGTGTCCAGAAGGATGGCCACCCAGACGATGCAGTAACTGGCTCGGCATTGGGCGGAAAGAACTTCTCAAGCAAGCTCTTGGGCGGAGACCTCTCGTTGAAGAAGTCTGGCCACTTCGTCGGAGAGTCGGTGCGGAGCGGCTCATCTTTGGTAGCGGAGCCGACCTCAAACGATTTGGTAGCGGAGCCCATGCATGGCGTAGTCGGTGCAATTGGCGTAGTTGCAGTAGGCGTGGTCGGCTCGACAACCTCGGGGTCGGACATGGTGGGGCAAATCCGCCGACCCTGTCGGCGTGTGTGAGGGGCTTTTCCGTTCGAGCCGTCATCTCCGTTATTCTTTGTAATCGTCGTCTCTGTCGTTCCCTTTCCCTGGTACCCCTCTTCCCCTGGGCTCCTCCCCGCTCCCCTCGCCCTTTCCCAGGGCCTCCTCAAGCGCGCTAGCCAAACCGACCTTCAGCAACGTCGTAATTGATTCGAAGGGAAGCCCCTTCCCTTTCCCTTCCCCGACGGGGGGGGGAGGGGGGGTCCCGGGGGGGGTCCCGGGGGAGTCCCGGGTCAGATACGACGGCCCCCCCGTACCGACCTTGAGCAACGTCGTAATTGAGTCGAAGGGAAGCCCCTTCCCTTTCCCTTCCCCGACGGGGGGGGGAGGGGGGGTCCCGGGGGGGGTCCCGGGGGAGTCCCGGGTCAGATACGACGCCCCCCCCCCGTACCGACCTTGAGCAACGTCGTAATTGAGTCGAAGGGAAGCCCCTTCCCTTTCCCTTCCCCGACGGGGGGGGGAGGGGGGGTCCCGGGGGGGGTCCCGGGGGAGTCCCGGGGAAGTCCCGGGTCAGATACGACACCTCCCTCCCCCACCTTCTCGTCCTTCTCCCCGTTCCCCAAAACCATCCCACAGCCCGTGCCTCTTGCTGCGCATTGCGAACAGGGTCGGCGGCACCGGCCGTAAGGCCTTCGCAATCATTGCGTCGAACACGTCGCTGAGAGATTTCCAGTCCATGGCCGTGAAACTCTTCTTGCGCCCGCGGCAAAACAACACCCATTTAATTGCAGTCGCTGCCCCTGGTCAGCTAACCGAGGGCCCGTCAAGTAGATCAGGGGCAGCAACTAGCAATTCGAGGGTCGTGGTTTTGGTGCGGTGCCTGATGGCCCCCGTCTTGGGGTATTGCGAGCTGTACGCCAAACTACCTGAAGCTTGCTGATCTTCCCGTCGAATGTCTCGTAACATCGACAAGCACACTTGAACATGTGTCGTAACTGCATGCCCTGGATATTCTCCTAGGCGGCCGACTTGGGCAGGATTCTCACCGAAAATAGATTCCAAAGCCGCCTGCAAGCGATGGCCCATCACCACCCCCGTCGTGCATCCAAGAAGAACCAAGCTTTTCAGCAACCCGATCGTCCTCATGAGGGCGTCACGAGAAACCTTCCGTGGGGAAGTTGCCAAGGGCCCGAGCACAAGCTCCCAGGTCTGGCCAGGCATGGAAGAAACCCATTGCGAGCATGCGCGTTTGTAGTCCTCTACAGAGAAATCAGGAGGCCCTTTTGCACGAAAACGCTTGTGTCCCGACATCATGGAGAACCCTGAACCGAAATGGCCATGAGCGGCGGTGGCGGCGGCGACGGCGCAGACGTTGACGCTCAAATCCGCGACCCTTGCGCTGTGCAAGGACCCCAGGCAGTCAGCTTCCTCATTCTGCTGGCCTCTTCTTGTGAAAATGTCTCAATTGAGTGCCGCATCTGTGAAACAACTGTGAACCAACGTGCTGTACACGCGCACCGCGCTACTAATGGGAGACGCTTTAAACAATATGGGTGATGTTGGCCAATGTCATCCGAAAATGTGCTGGGCTCGTTGGAGCAGCGTGCGTTTTGATTACGAAGCAATGCTATGCCAGGAACTCCCCCCCGCACACAGACACACGCACACACACACACAGCCCCGCCGCCCCCACCACCGCACACACACACACACACACACACACACACACACACACACACACACACACACACCACACACACACACACACACACACACACACATACACACACACGCACACGCATACACACTACACACACCACACCACACCCACCCACCACCCACCCACCCACCCACCCACCCACCCACCACCACCACCACCCACCACACCCACGATCACCACCACCACCAACCACCACCACCACCACCACCACCACCACCAACCACCACCACCACCACCACCACCACCACCACCACCACCCACCACCCCCACGCCCCTCAGACCACACACACACACACACACACACTACCACCACCACCACGCACGCACGCACGCACGAACGCACGCACACACACACACAGACACAGACACAGACACATACACATACACACACACCACCACACACACCACCACCACCACCACCACCACCACCACCACCACCCTGTAAAAATACGTCTGGAACCCGCAACGAGTAAGTCGGACATCAACAAAATTAAGTCGGAAAATTCCGACTTAAATTTAAGTCGGAAGTTTCCGACTTAAATTTCCGACTTAAATTTAAGTCGAAAGTGAGCTTCGGAAGGCTGGAAATTTAAGTCGGAAGTTTCCGACTTAAAGCTAAAACGGCCCAAACTAAGTCGGAACCGGAGTCTGGGTTAGCTCGCTGTCTGGCCCCGGGAGCCTCGCAGCTCGATCTGGCTCGAAACGTATGGCGCAGGAAGGTGCGGTCCGGGGCTCTGGGCGTGATTTTTCGCGGTGCGGCAAATTTTTTGGCAACGTCGGATCTCAGGGGAAGGGGGGTCGTCTGCGCCAACGTTGTGGGAGCCCCCAAACCAGGTGGTGAGATACCAGGGGGTGACTTGGAATCCCCCAAACAGGTCACCGCCGGGTTTGGGGGACACGGGGCCACCGCCGAGCTTTGTGACTCCTGGGCCCACCAGCGTTCAGGACATCCTCGAAAAACCGCACGAGTCCCCAAACCGGGTGGTGACACCAAATCGCCCGAGACTCACCGCCGGGTGTCGTCACCACCACGTTCGGGGGCCACCGTACCTTGGCGGGCCGGCTGCCTGCGCAAGATCGCGCGGGAGCGGCCTCGCCTCCAAGCCTGCGTGGCGCGCGGGCGGGCCGCGGAGGCTACCGCGTGAGGTCGCGTCGCCGTCTCCCGTAAGACCCGCTCTTGATCGGCGCTCAAGTCCACGGACACTGTGCGGCCAAAACCAAAGCCCTCACAGTACCCGGTTCCGGAGCTGTGGGGGTGGCGGTTGAGGCCCTGTGGCTAGTGATGCATTGGAGCGGAGACGAAATGGCGACAAGGCAAAAAAATCGTCGCTCAGGTCCACGTTGCCTCTCTGAGCCAGCCCCCCACCGACGCTCCCCTGCGCAGGGCGGCAACTGCCTGAACACGGCCGGCCTCGCGAAGACCAAGAGAGGGCGCGCCCGGCGCGGCGCCGGCGGGCTCGAGGCTCGAGGCTCCAGACTCGTGCGAGGCTCGAGGCTCGCGGGTTCGAGGCCCCAGGTCCGAGGCCGTTCTCGTTGTGCTCGGCAGTCTTCCAGCTTCGGGGTGCTCCTCGAGGCTCGAGGCTCGAGGCCGTCTTCGTTGGTCCCTGGCGGCTCTGCAGCCTCGGAGTGTTCTCCAGCAGCTGCGCCTCGCCGAGAGGCGCCCCGGGCTGCCCAGACCGCCCCGGCCGGGCGCCGGAGGCCGGTCAGATGGCACGGAAGCCACCGGGGGGGGGGCATGGTGCCGCAGACAGGAAGGGGCGGACCCCGCGCGACAAACAGCGGGGCAGGGTGTTGCAGACACGCAGTCAGCCCGCATCGCAAAGATGGGCAGCTTTCCCAAGGGCACCCTTACATCCTTGCCCCCTTCGGCCCTTCGGCCCATCCTTAGCGACTTTCGTTGGCCAACCTCGCTCGAACGACGTTAGCATGGGCATCCAATGCCCTTGCATCCTTACCGCGCATCCTTAAGATACGGACTGCTTGTATGCCCAGATCTCCGGCGATCTGGCTGTTCAATCCAAGCGTTGTTCCTCGGTTTCGATCCTGGGCGGACATCTACCCAAACTATCGCTGGGAAAGGGGTCGGGGCCTTTGGGACCGCGGATTGAGAAAATCATACCAGAGGGTGTCAGGGCGTGTGTGACGGAGGAACACGGGGTCGACTGTGCGAACATTCTCGCGTAAGTTTCCCACGCAAGGCCGCGCGTGAGCGACTTCTTTCCCACCCGATGTGCAACGCTGGCGGCCCGCGTACGCCGCGGCGTTAGGTCGCCAAATGAGCGACATAAACAGGGGTTGTCAGCGCCGACATAGAGGCTTAAGCTGCCCGCGTAAGCTCGCGCGCAAGCGCCCTCGTCTCCGAAGCAGCGTGCCGCGCTGGCGGCCCGCGTAATCTGGAGACTCGAAGAAGCAGAAACGGTACGAGCACGAACTGTGGGAGGTCCGCGAGTGGATCTTCGCCGGACCCTCCCCGAGGACGCTGGCGCGCCTCGCGCGCCAGAGAGGGGTGCCCAGCGCCGATCCAAGATATCCGCGTGGGGCTCCGAAAGTATTGCGCCATGGTTTCTTTTTCGGGTCAGAATGTGAATATTTCGATAAGAAGTCCGAAGGGGGAAAAAAGAAGGCTGGTAATGATGCTGATGGTGATGCTGATGATGATGATGATGATTGTGCTGATTACGGTGTCGGTGGTGATGTTGATGCTGATGCTGATGTTGATGATGATGACGATGATGATGGTGATGCTGATGATGACGATGATGATGCTGATGATGATGTTGATGATTATGGTGTTGGTGATGATGATTATGATGGTGATGATGATGATGATGATGGTGATGATGCTGATGATGTAGTTGTCGATTATAGTGGTGGTGATGGTAGTGGTGGTGGTGATGATGATGGCGATGCTGATGATAATGATGTTGTTGATGATGCTGCTGATGATGCTGATGATGATGGTGATGGTGATGGTGATGATGATGATGACGACGAGGAGGAGGAGGAGGAGGAGGAGGTGGAGGACAAGACGCTTCAGGTGGGAGTCGGGAGGCCGCGAGAGATGCTGGCGAATGTATTCGGAGCAAGTCGAAGTCAGGATTCAGTAATCCTAGACGCTTCACGTGACCCAGCAAGCCCATCCGGAAACAATGTTCAGACGTGTTGCCATGGTCAGGGATTTGGAATTGAATGCAGTGGCATAAACGGTAGGGTAAGAAGTTGTACCCCGATCGAGGGTAGAAGGATGGAGTAGGAATCGGGGGAGGAGCAAGAGGAGGAAGAGGATGAGGAGAAGGAGGAGGGGGAGGAGGAGGAGGAGGAGGAGGAGGAGGAGGAGGAAGAAGAGGAGGAGGAGAAGGAGGAGGGGGAGGAGGAGGAGGAGGAGGAGGAGGACGAGGAGGAGGAAGAGGAGGAGGGGGAGGACGGAAGAGGAGGGCGAGCAGAAAGGCCAGAGGCCTCCTGGATGTCGCACGAGTCTCTTCGGATTTCGCTCGACAGTTTTTTGGAGTCCCCGTCGGGCGACTTTGGGGGGGGGTCTCTTGGCAGTCCCATATGCCTCTTAGGAGCATCTTGGGTGCCTTAGGGTGTGTTTGGGATCCCCTTGGGAGTTTCTTGGGAGCCTCTTGGGGGCCTCCTGGGGGCCTCTAGGGGGCCTCTTGGGGGCCTCTTGGGCACGCCTTGGGCCGTCTTGGAGCACTCGCGGGAGCCTCGGAGGTCACCTCGGGGCCATCTTAGGAGAGATCGGTCAACATCTCGGGGCCATCTCGGGGTCATCTTCCTTGTTTAGAGCCCCAGCCCAGGAGGCCAAACTGTGGTCAGCACCTCAGTAAAATCAATGATGTTGGCCTTCTCGCCGAGGCCTCTTGGGGCGTTGTGGGAGCCTCTAGGGAGCCTCTTGGGGTCCGCTTGGGGGGGCCTCTTGGGGCCTCATGGGCAGCTCTCGGGGTACTCTCGGGAGCCTTGGGGGCCACCTTTCGGCCATCTTGGAGGAGATCGATCAAAGGAGGGGGGCTCCCTAATGGCTAAACTGTAGCCAAAACCAAAGTCAAATCCATGATTTTGGCATTCTCGCCTAGGCCCCTCGTGGCGTCTTCGTGCCTCTGGGGGCCCTCTTGGGGCGTCTCGGGGCAGGCCCAGAAGCCTCCTAGTGGGGCCTCTTGGAGCCCTTAGGGGTCTCTTGGGAGCCTCGTAGGGGCCTCTTAGGGAGCCTCTTGGGGGCCTCTCGGGAGCCTCCTGGGCATTGGGGCCTTCTTGGGGCACCCACCTCGGGAGTGATCGATCACAGGAGGGTGACTCCGTACTCAAAGTCCACTCCCAGAAGGTCCAAATGCGGCCAACACCTTAGTCAAATCAGTGATTTTGGCATTCTCGCCGAGGCCTCTTGGGGCGCCGTGCCTCTAAGGGGCCTCTTGGGGCGCCTTTGGGGTCTCTGAAGAGCCTCCTGGGCACCTCTTGGGGTCATCTTGCGGGCCTCTTTTTGCGTCCTGGGCACCTCTCGGTCCTCTTGGGAAACTCTCGGGAGCCTTGGGGGCCACCTTTGGGCCAGCTTGGAGGAGATCGATCAAAGGAGGGGGGCTCATTAATCAGGCCCCCCCCCCCTGGCCAATATGTGGCCAAAACCGAAGTCAAATCCACGATTCCGGCATTCTCGCCGAGGCCCCTTGGGGCGTCGTAGGTGCCTCTGGGGGGCGGTCTCTTGGGATCCTCTCGGGAGCCTCTTGGGGGCAGCTCTAGGGCCTCTTCTGGGCCCCTTGGGGCCTCCAGTGCGCCTCTTGGGGCTATCTTAGGACACCCTTGTGAACCCTTGGGGCCAGCTTTGTGGCATCTTGGAAGAGATCGATCAAAGAATAGGGGCTACCTCAGTAGGCCCCCACCCCTGGAGGCCAAGCTGTTGCCAAAACCTCCAGTTGGCCCACACGTGGCAAAACCGTAGTGCAATCAATGATTATGGCTTCCGCGCCAAGGCCATCTTCCACGCTCCAACTCCCCGCCGCCCCCCCCGTCCAGACCCGGGGGAGGGGCAGGCGGAGGGATCAAGACACCCTCCCCGCCTGCAATCTGTCGTGCTCACCCCCTCCCGCCTGCCCAACACATTACTAGCATCCAGGACTCAACATGTTCAGCGGTCGTGTATGGACGGGCGTGTTCTGGGAACCAATACAGACCCATGTGCGCGATGGGGCGAGGTGTACCCCGCGTACCAGACGCTCCAGGTGCGCCAGGCGCCGCTGGGGCCCAAGCGTTCCAGGCACGCCTCGCGCGCCATATGCCACGTGCGCCATGTGCGCCGCATGGTTCAGCCGCGCCAGGTACGCCACGTACGGGTCATGCGCAGGTTGTGCCAGGTACGCCCGCGCACGTGACAACACACATCGGGAAACATGTCGGCCCCCACCATCATTGTCTAGCGCAATCGCGGCGGGGAGGCCATCATATGCCTGCGCCCCCGTGGTCCTTGTTGCGCACGGTCCAGATTTTGCCGCGATGTGATTGTGGTAGTGTTTTTAACAAGGATGGTGGCCTTGAACAAAACAGATAGTATGAGGGCACCCAAAAAAATGTTTACGTATTGCCTCTTAACAGGGATGGGGGCGGGGGGCGGCCTTGGTCCTGGTTGGCTGCAGGTCGCTTGGGGGAGGGGGCGTTTACGTATTGCTACGGGCAGTGATCAAAACATCCCCCCGCCAGCAAGCTGTCCCGCTCACGCCCGCCCGCCCTCCCAGCACAAACATAGCACCGGGGCCTCAGCATGTGGGGCCGACCCAACCCCCCCGAAGTGGAAGAAGGGGGGGTGGAAGAAGAGACTTCCCACACCACTCTCGCCCAGAGGCCCGGTGGGATTTGCAAGAACTGCTTCTAGCCAGACTGCCCGATGCGCATGATCGCACCAGACGAGCAGCGCGGCGGTCAGCCCCCGAGGCGAACGCCATCCGAGCGATCTCCCCAGGCCCATCGGGATTGTTCTAGGCTTGCTCTGCGCGTGTGTCCGCAGACGACCCTGAGCCAACCAGGCTGGCGCGCAGGCCCAGGTATGGCCGGGCACGCCCCGCACAGGCCGTGCCGGCCGACCCAGAGTTGCCCCCACACAGTGCCCTTTTTATTCATGTTCCGCGTGCGGATCATGTATTAAACATGCAGGGATTGAGTATTCCAAACAACGATGAGTTCACGCATACATTTATTCATACATCAACCAGTACTAAACATCCTGTTTCTTAAAATCCGATGTATTAAGAACTGCCCCCACACGAGCTCGACACCAAGCAGTCCGTGTCGCGTGCGGGCATGTTGCCGCCGGCACCTCGGGCGTGGTGCACGGAGGCGTGGCACCGAGCGCGGCGAGCGGAGCGGCTCGCACGCCCGGCGCAGACCCAGAAGCAAGGCTAAGTTTTGTTGGCTAGTGGTGCCTCGCCCCCCTCCTCCTCCTCCTCCTCCTCCTCCTCCTCCTCCTCCTCCTCCTCCTCCTCCTCCTCCTCCTACTCCTACTCGTCCTCCTCCTCCTCCTCCTCCTCCTCCTCCTCCTCCGCGTTTGTCATGCTGTCGCGCGCGCCATGCGCAGGTGTTGATCAATGGCTTCCCTTTGTACGATGGGTGTCCTGCCCTGCAGTTCCGCACGGCATCACGGGTACTGCAAGTGGGCCGTCTACGCCTTCTCCACACCATGGGTTGCACTCAGTTCCTGCATCGCACCTCTCACAAGGATATCGCTTGTCCAAGCGCATCCTGGCATGCACGTGGCTTCAGCTAGTCTTTCCACTTCTCTGGATTGTGGTATGGCGGTTGGCGATGGGTGGGCTCATGCCGCCTGCCAGTCTTGGCAGAAGCAGCCCGGCGTGCTGGGAGATACAAGGTGCAAGGGCATGGTTGCCACCAACGTCTTTGCATTGTTCCCCGTTGACGCAACCTTGCTAAAGCACAGCGGTGCATACAGATGATGCTACATGTTGGGTATGTCCTGGTTGCGGGTGGAGAGGGTGAATGAATCATGAAGCCGCCGACTGATGAAGACTGAAAGAGGTACCGAGAGAAGCGGATACTGACAGACGTGGGCGCAGGGGGGGGGCGAGAGAGAGAGAGAGAGAGCGAGAGAGGGAGAACACGGAGAACGAGAACAAGATCGCGCGCGCTACTTTTACATCTGATGTGTTAATACATATATATATATATATATATATATGTATATATGTGTTCTGGAGTGGGGAACTCTTCACCATTGCATGCGCCTTCCGTTGCCGCCCAGACACGGCTGTGTGATGTTCCAGCTGCACCCCGGCACCTGTCATGGCCTCGGCGCGCGGCGACGCCCCGACGGCAAGGAAAGGAGGGGCGGCGCCGGTCGGCGCCGAGGTCTCGAGCGCTACGGCAGTTCTTCGGACGGCTCGCCTGCTCCGATCGCCCCGGGCCCGACGTTGGAGCTGCGCTGCTCTAAAACGTCGTGCTCGAAAGGGACACAGAAGAAGAGCAGCAGCAGGAGGAGGAGGAGGAGGAGAAGGAGAGGGTCTGAACCTCAGGGGGGGAGGGAGAAGGACGAGGAGGAGGAGGAGGAGGACAAGAAAAAGGAGGAGGAGGAGAAGGAGAGGGTCTGAACCTTGGAGGAGGAGGAGGAGGAGGAGGAGGAGGAGGGGAGGAGAGGAGGAGGAGGAGGAGGAGAAGGAGAGGGTCTGAACCTCAGGGGGGGAGGGAGAAGGACGAGGAGGAGGAGGAGGACGAGGAGGAGCAGGAGGAGGAGGAGGAGGAGGAGGAGGAGGAGCAGATACTGCTAATCCCATGGGCCTCTCAAGGTTTGCGTTCTGACCAGAATGTCGATGAGCGTCCGGCCGCGGCGGCCAGGGATCCCCAGGACGGGTACAGCAGCGGTATCGGTACCAGGGGGGTGTGCTTCCACTGGCTTGGCATCGCTCGGACGTGTGCAGATTCCCTTCGGCGAGGACCATCGAGGAGCATCCTTGATCACTTGGCGAAAAAAATAACCTACGAAACCCAACAAAACGCAGGGAATGGACGTCCGAGCGATGGCCAGAGGGGGTGTTTCCCCTGGGGGGGAGGATGATCCCAGATTTCGATGCTGGTGGTCATGCTGCGGCCGCCTACGAAGCCTGAAGATTGCCACCATCATCGAGATCGGGGCAATCTTCCATTGGGGGGGAGGGGGAGGAAGAGGAGGAGCAGGAGGAGGAATAGGAGGGGGGGCAAGCTATGTACGCTCGCGTCATATCTGACGTCCTACCCCTCCCTCCGATCCCTTACCGTGGCGTCGATTTCAGTTCTGCTTGCACAACCAGATGTCGCAACATGGATTAGCATTACATGGCATAGCATGGTGTTGGAGATCAGCGCGTAACATGGTACAGCATGGCGTGGCGACGCCCCAAAGTGGGGGAGGGAGGACTTTGCGGCCCCAGAAATCAACAAATCGACACCGAATGTGTAATCGTTTCTGATGGTTTTTCGGGCGGTCATTTCTCAGATGCTGTAGCTTATTTGGAAGGACCGAAAACCATGCCCTGGAAATAATAGCGTCAGCGCTGCAGAGTGAGCACGATTCGGGACGATCGGAAGCGCGGAAATGGGGCCAGCGCTGCAGCGGGAGCACGATTCGGAACGAGCGGTAGCCTGAAAATGAGGCCAGTGCTTTAGCGAGAGCGGCATTTTGAAAAAAACAGACCCAAGCGCGGAAACGCGGAACTGAGGACGCGCAGCCTGACATAGCATGGCGTGGCGGTGCCCCAAAGTGGGGGGGGGGGGCTGAGGGCTCTGCGGCCCCAGAAAATAAACGAATCGGCACCGAATGTGTAATCACGTCCGATGGTTTTTTCGGGGGGTCATTTTCTAAGGACCGAAAACCATTCCGTGGCATGGCACTGGAAACAATTACGCTACCGAGGAACCCCACATACTTATATTATGGCTGGAGTGATGAAAGCTGAAGTGAAGCATGTGAGAATGATGTTCGTGGCCGTTGCCCCGCCGATACCGCTGTGCCCTGGACGACCGTCACGGATAGTGGCCGCGGTGAGAGACCACCCCCTGCGCACCCCCTCATGGTGTCGAGAATATGCCATGCCTTCTGTGCCCTGGACGACCGTCACGGATAGCGGCCGCGGTGAGAGACCACCCCCTGCGCACCCCCTATGGTGTCGAACATATGCCATGCCTGCTGTGCCCTGGACGACCGTCACGGATAGCGGCCGCGGTGAGAGACCACCCCCTGCGCACCCTTTATAATGTCGAGACAGTCCCACGCATGCTGTGCCCGGGACGACAAAGGCGCACAGCGGTCGCGCTGAGGGACAACCCCCTTTTGGTGTCGAGGAAGTGCCACGCGTGCTGTGCCGACCGGGGCGTATACAGGCCGCGGTGAGAGACCACCCCCTGCGCACCCCCTATTGTGTCGAGAAAGTGCCGCGCGTGCTGTGCCTGGACGACCGGGGCGTATAGAAATCGCGTGAGAGACCACCCCCTGCGCACCCTCTACGGTGTCGAGAAAGTGCCACGCCTGCTGTGCCTGGACGACTGCGGCGTATAGAGACCGCGGTGAGAGACCAGCCCTTGCGCACCCCTTATGGTTTATAGTGTCGAGAAAGTGCCACGCCTGCTGTGCCTGGACGACCGGGGCGTATAGAGGCCGCGGTGAGAGACCACCCCCTGCGCACCCCCTACGGTGTCGAGAATATGCCATGCCTGGTGTGCCCTGGAAGACTGGCGCGTATAGAGACGGCGGCGAGAGACCACCCCCTGCGCACCCCCTATGGTGTCGAGAAAGTGCCACGCCTGCTGTGCCTGGATGACCGCGGCGTATAGAGACCGCGGTGAAAAAACACCCCCCCCGCAGCCCCTATGGTGTCGAGAAAGTGCCATGCCTGGTGTGCCCTGGACGACCGGGGCGTATAGAAACCGCGGTGAGAGACCACCCCCTGCGCACCCCCTAAGGTGTCGAGAAAGTGCCACGCCTGCTGTGCCTGGACCGGGGCGTATAGAGACCGCGGTGAGACCACCCCTGCGACCCCCTAAGGTTCGAGAAAACTGTGCTGGACGACCGTTAGAGACCGCGGTGAGAGCACCCCTGCGCACCCCTATGGTGTCGAGAAGGTGCCACGCCTTGCTGTGCCTGGACGACCGGGGCGTATAGAGGCCGCGGTGAGAGACCACCCCCTCCGCACCCCCTATGGTGTCGAGAAAGTGCCACGCCTGCTGTGCCAGGACGACTGGGGCGTATAGAGACCGCGGTGAGAGACCAGCCCTTGCGCACCCCCTATGGTGTCGAGAAAGTGCCACGCTTGCTGTGCCTGGACGACCGGGGCGTATAGAGACCGCGGTGAGAAACCACCCCCTGCGCACCCCCTATGGTGTCGAGAATATGCCATGCCTGGTGTGCCCTGGAAGACTGGCGCGTATAGAGACGGCGGCGAGAGACCACCCCCTGCGCACGGTGTCGAGAAAGTGCCACGAGCTGTGCTGAGCTGAGCTGAGCCGTGCTGGGCTGTGCTGAGCTGTGCTGTGTGCTGAGCTGAGCTGAGCTGTGTGCTGAGCTGAGCTGTGCTGTGCTATGCTGTGATGTGCTGTGCTGAGCTGTGCTGTACGAAGAGTGAGGTGTGTGTGTGTGTGTGAGAGTGTCGCGGGTGCGGCGCGGCAGGGAAGAAAACCATAACCCCACGAAACATGTGGGGAATGACGCCAGCGCTGCAGTGTGAGCACGATCCGGGACGAACGGAAGCGCGGAAATGGGGCCAGCGCTGCAGCGAGAGCACGATTCGTTATGAGCAGTAGCCCGAAAATGAGGCCAGTGCGTTAGCGAGAGCAGCATTTTGAAAAAGAGCGCAAACCAAAACCCAACTCCCGAGAATCCTGTGTGAAAAAATCAAGTAGGAGGAGGGGGACTGGAAATTTCACGGACGCCACTGTGGGAGAGAGGTGCGTAGTACTCATATTATGCAAGTGTGAAGGAAGTGGAGGGGGAGGAGGAGGAGGACGAGGAGGAGGAGGAGGGAGAGGAGGAAGAGGAGGAGCGGGGGGTGGCAGGTGGGCAAACGCCAATGTTGGTGTTGGTGCCAACCGCGGAGCCTCCCACACTGGGACGATTCTGATCGTCAGGGGTACCTCCCTGGCCAACGTTGCCTCGAGGGCTCCCGCAGACGTTGGACTCGCATTTTGGGTGGATTGGGCCTGTCTGGGGTGGTGAGACCCAGACGTCTGGCGTCTCGAAAGCATCAGAGATCTTTGTCGGCTTCTCGGGCCCTCACTGGGCCTCGGGATCGTCAAACATCGGTGCGAGATGCAAAAACAGTCTGGGGATGTGGTCTACAGGTCGGGGTCCCGCGTCTCCAGACACCAGATGTCTGGGGAGTCGTCTTGGGCAAGTCTTCCGCCGCTTGAGGGGCCGTCTTGGGCGGTCTGGGCCAGGTTCGGGCCTGTCTGCAGCGTTTCTTTGTAGTCGAATGGCCCGGCCCAAGCTGAAGTTTTGGTCGATCGTTTCTCAGGGCGTTATGCGAGTCCAAGTGCGTCAAGCTGAGAACCACCGACCCGTTGCGCCTGCGGATTCCCCAGGGATGCGCCGCGGTTCCGCCTCGACAGACCAGCTCTCCTCAGCAGTCTCTGCTCCGCCGCAGCGTCCGACGGCACGCACTTGCAGGCGTGAGCCCGTCGTGCAAGTCGCATGCGACCGGCTTGCGAACACGAGCCATGCGACCGACTTGCGAACACGAACCATTTATCTTCGATGTCTGTTTATGGGAGCCTTGGGCGGCGACATAGAAATCAGCTTTTCCTGCATGGGGACAGCTTGGGGACTGCATGTGGCCCATCCTCCTGCTCCTCCTCTCCCCTCCTGTTCCCCCTCCCCCTCCTCGTTCTCCTAGCCCCCACGAATCCAGTCCAAGTCTGGTCCAAAGCCAGTCCAAATTTGTTCCAAATCCGGTCCAAAGCAGGCCCAAATTGGACAGTGCTGGGGGCCACGCAGGCTCCCATGGAACAGACACCAAATTTATCCGAGATGATTGCGCATACTTGGTCTTCAAAGTGGCGATGCGGCTTACACATAGCAGGTCCAGTTGTGTTGGTGCAGAGTGTTCGCGTTGGCGTAGGTCGACATCTTTCATGAGACGTTCGATCCACCCACCAACGTTCGGACTCGCTTGCCATACCGATATCGCGTCCTCTTATGTGGGGGTTGTGGGTATTAGGTGTAGATAGATGCGCGTCGGCCTGGTCAAAGTCCCGATCCGAATTGACTCTCATTTTCAAGGCCCTTCAAGCTTGGCACCTCGGTTCAGATCGGATTGCTGGCCAAAGGCGGCGCACGCCTTCCTGTCGGGCCGATCTCTCGAGTGCAGTCAACCCGCATGGTTGAGGATGGGCGACTGTCCCTTGCATCCTTGCCTCCTCGGTCCATCCTTGGCCACTCTCGCGGGCCGCGCCCCGCTCGCAGAGTGCCGAAACGGCCTTCCAAGGCCCTCGCATCCTCATCGTGCATCCTTGTTAAACGGGTTGACCGTACCTGGGTCGGGGGGCCGTGCCTCCAAGAGGCCGAGGCGCCGGACGGCGGGGCTGCAGCAGCAAGGGTGCGGATGGGCGGGTCGAAGGGTAGTCAGGTCGGCCTGCGAAGACGTGGCGGGGCAGGGGGCGAGCGCACGGCCATGCCAAGCGTAGTGCATGTCTTCCTCCTCCTCCTCCTCCTCCTCCTCCTCCTCCTCCTCCTCCTCCTCACTCTCCTCCTCCGCCTCCTCCTCCTCCTCCTCCTCCCCCTCCTCCTCCTCCTCCTCCTCCCCCTCCTCCTCCTCTTAAGGCACCTACGCCTACTACTACGACGACGCCGACTTCACCGCCGGCGACATGTGCTGCGCGTGCGGCGGCGGCCGGCCGGGCGAGGGGCGGCGGCCCGAGGCGGCGGCCCGCTGAGCGTGGAGCAGCGGCGGCGCGCGGCGGTCGGGGGAGGCAGCTGCGGCGGGCATCGTCGGGAGGCTCCCGGGTTCCTGTGAGGTCCCCTCCTCCTCCTCCTCCTCCTCCTCCTCCTCCTCCTCCTCCTCCTCCTCCTCCTCCTCCTCCTCCTCCTCCTCCAACCTCCTCCTCCTCCTCCTCCTCCTCCTCCTTCTCCTGGCTGTTCGTCCAACGGCGGCCCTCGCCAATGCTGAGATCGGGGTGCTGCTTCTGTGGTGGCAGAGGCGGGGGGAGGCAGCTGCGGCGGGCATCGTCGGACGGCTCCCCAGACACCCTCGGGGGTGGACAGACCTCCTACCCCGACACGTCGATTAAGGAATGGGCCGTTATTGCTTCGCGAGAGGGCGTCGCGGCCGTCATTTTTGCGGGTCCAGGTCCGTCGGTTTCGGTCCCAAGCCGTTTTCACTAAGGGGAGGTCTACTAAAGGTAGCTTTGTCCAACGCCGAGGTTTGTCCACCGCCGACACCCGTCATCGTCACTCACCACCCACCAAACCACCCCAACCCAACCCGAAGGCCTCAAATTGACCTCCATTTCCAGTGGGGGGGGTCGGGGAACATCGAGAAAACACTTGTGGAACCCGTACCCCCCCCCCCCGAGATTCGAGTCTTCGGGTTGGGTTGGGGTGGTCTGGGAGGTAGTCACTCATGTGGGGTCCCGGGTTCCTCTCTTGTCCCCTCTGTCTCCCCCATACAGTGCCGTTTTAATACATGCTCCGCGTGCGGATCGTGTGTTGAAAATGCAGGGCTTTAGTATTACAAACAACGATGGGTCCACGCATAAATTGTTCATACAGTAATCATGTATTAAAAGTCCTATATGTTCAAAAGCCCTATGTATTAAACCACTGCCCTGTATGTGTCCTGCAGTGGTGCACGGCCTTTTTTGGGCTCGGGTGCGCGACTCGTCCCCTGGGAGTGGCGGGGCGTCCTGGCTCGCCCACGGGCCTGCCGGAGGATGTTCCCAGAGCCTCTTTCTGTGGCTTCCACGGGAGTGTTCTTACGTAGAGCATTCCTGGGTGGGACCGTCGTGTTTTAACACATCGGGTTCATGGTCTAAGGATATCGTTGTTGTTCTTAGAACAGATTTGTGGTCCTGGCTCGCCGATGGGCCTGCCAGAGGATGTTCTGAGAGCCTCTTTCTGTGGCTTCCACGGGAGTGTCCTTCGAGCGTTTCTGGTTGGGACCGTCGAGTTTTAACACATCGGGTTCATGGTCTAAGGATACTGCTTTTGTTCTTAGAACAGATTTGGGGTCCTAAGAGCATTTCGTGGTAGGCCTTCTTAGAAATGCTGGGGCGATCGGTCCCTGCTCATCAGACACCCTCGAGTCTACGGACCCCGTGTTTGATCGAGGATCCGAGATCGGGGCGCACTCTTCTTCGAGCGGGCTCGAGCGAAACGCATTTCTTCCACGCCGAATTGGATTGCACCTCGCTGTGCGTCGCAAGTAATTCCGCCGGTCCACCTCAAGTCGTGCCCAGGGGGAACATGATAGACCCGCGAACCCAGAAAGGGATTGGATTTGCAAGGCATGTGGCCGTTTCTAAGGACCTCAATTGCATATGCAATTGGGCGATGCCAGGGGGACATGCCAGTGGGGGGACGCGCCGCGGAACGTCCCAAGGGGCGCGCCAGATGACGTACCAGGGGACGTGCCATGGGCACACCCTCGAGTCATAGAAAATATCACGACTGGAGGTTTTTCACTAGTTTCGGCCGCTGGGGGCCCTCACCGAGCCTCGGGGCCGTTAAACAACGATTCGGTACAAAGAACCCGTCCCAGGGAATGGGCCGAGACCTCGGGGGGTCGACGTCATGAAAGAATTATGACGTCGGGGAAAGCATGCTACGCATGTAGTGAAGTCGGCGGTGCAAGAACGAGATTTGGATCCGTGAGTGGATCAGTCTAACGTGTCACTGTTGAGGCCATGATGCCTCTTTTGATCTTCTGAGCCGGCTGTGATGCCCGCTCGTGCCCACCCCCTCCCGTCGCCAGGGCCTTCGCATCCCCCTATGATGGCATGGGATGGGGCGACGCTCCGCCTCCCCGGGCGCTGCACGCACTGTGCCGGGTTCGTGGGGATTTTGTTGGTGCATTCTAGGACTGCCCCCTCCCTCCCCTTCCCGTCCCCCCGCGTACGCCCAGAGCGCCATACCTGGCCCTGCTGGTGGGCAGAGGACAAACTGGCATGCACAGCTTGACTCCCCGAGCTGAGGGTGGTAGGCTTGAACCCTGCTGGCGCCCACAGGCCCTGCTGGGCCTGAGGGTGGTACTCCGAGTCCACGCCAGAGGCCCTGCTGGGCCCCAGCGCACGGCGCCGGAGGCATGCTCCAGGAAGCCCTCCCCAGAGCATGCCCCGAGGATCTTTCCAGGGTAAGGCTGGAGGATTCCGCCGGATCCGAAAGGATAGCGGGTGGCCGGGCACGCCGGTTTTTCCCAGTGTTTAGGAAGAACGCTTCGGCCATGCATCGTGTCACGGTTTAGACGTGACCCAAAATTTCGCCCTCACCCGGAGAGTGTGAAAGCATGTTTCGCCCAACCTTCAGAGGCAGCGGACGATTCAAATCGGAAGTTGTAATTGTGGGCTCGTGGATCGTGGGCTTCACATCACAGGGGCCACCAGCCAGTAAACCCGCACTTGCGGCTGGCAGGCCATGCGATGCCCCGCCCTGGTTCGCATTCAACTCTTAGACGGTACCCGAGATTTCACCGCCCAGTAGCTCGGGTTTGGCCCGCGACCATCGGCCATGCGGTCGGGACAAGGATCAACAAACAATCAACAAAACATCTGGTCCTGCAGGCGGGCAGATCACGAACTGGCATACACAGTTTCGACCCCGAGCAGAAGGTGGTACTCAGAGGCTCTGCTGGACCTGAGGGTGGTACTCCGAGTCCAGGCCAGAGGCCCTGCTGGGCCCCGGCGCACGGCGTCGGAGGCATGTTCCGGGAAGGCCTCCCCGGAACATGCCCCGATGTTTTCGCCACCGTAAGGTTGGAGGATTCCGTCGGATCCGTAACGATAGCGGATGGGTGGGCACGCCGTTTTTTTCCAGTGTTTAGGAAGAACATTTCGATCCCGCCGGACCCGAAATGATAGCGGATGGGCCAGCACGCCAGTTATTTGCAGTGCCGGTCAGAAGCCTTCCGGCCTTCGCAGAAGCTTTCGGAGCCTCTCTTTTGGGGTTCGTTGAGTTACGTTGGACATGTCCTTCTACAGGAGGAAGATTCAAGAATAGTCAAGACATAGTCTGGGGGCGATTGTTCCCCATACTATGTTTTGACTATTCTTGAACGCCGACTTACTCATGCACAGACTTACTCATACTCAGACTCACTCATCCCAGGCGTACTCATACGCAGACTGTTTATCATACTCAGACTTATTCATACCCAGACTTACTCATACACTGACATACTCATACTCAGACTTACTCATACGCAGACCTACTCATACTCAGACTTACTCATACCCAGACGTACACATACCCAGACGTACTCATACACAGACTTACTCATACTCAGACTTGCTCATACCCAGACGTACTCATATACAGACTTACTCATACTCAGACCTACACATACGCGGACCTTCTACTAGATGGAGTTACTCAACGCACGGCATATTTTGAGGATGTCTCAGGCGGGGCGCTGGTTTCAGCACCCCAAAGGGGAGCCGCCAGGGGTGTTCTCACGGGCCGGTTCGCGGCCAGTTTGTGGGGATGTCTCAAGCGGTTTGCTCGTTTTCATGCCCAGCATGCTTTCAGAGCAGTTTGTGAGGATGTCTCAGGCGGGGCGCTGGTTTCAGCACCCCTAAGGGGAGCCGCCAGGAGTGTTCTCACGGGCCCGTTCGCGGCCAGTTTGCGGGGATGTCTCAGGCGGTTTGCTCGTTTTCATGCCCAACATCCGCTGGTTCCAGCACCCCTAAGGGGAGCCGCCAGGGGTGTTTTCACGGGCCCGTTCGCGGCCAGTTTGCGGGGATGTCTCAAGCGGTTTGCTCGTTTCCATGCCCGACATGCTTTCAGAGCAGATTGCGAGGATGTCTCAGGCGGGGCGCTGGTTCAGCACCCCAAAGGGGAGCCGCCAGGGGTGTTTTCACGGGCCCGTTCGCGGCAAGTTTGTGGGGATGTCTCAGGCGGTTTGCTCGTTTTCATGCCCAGCATGCTTTCAGAGCAGTTTGTGAGGATGTCTCAGGCGGGGCGTTGGTTTCAGCACCCCTAAGGGGAGCCGCCAGGAGTGTTCTCACGGGCCCGTTCGCGGCCAGTTTGCGGGGATGTCTCAGGCGGTTTGCTCGTTTTCATGCCCAACATCTTTTGCTTTCAGTGCAGATTGTGAGGATGTCTCGGGCGGGGCGCTGGTTTTAGCACCCCTGAGGGGAGCCGTCAGGGGGGAGGACGCTCATGAACAGACGCTCGCTATGGCAGGACATAAAACATGAGATGCACATATGGGGGGCTCCACGCAGTGAGTAATTTTACTATTGTTCATTGCTTTTGCGTATTAGTTGACAATTTGTGTCCTCCAAAACCCGCCTGTAGGAAGGAGGGCATGCCCGACCTAATCGTAGAGCGGGGGTGGGGGGGGCGAAATCCTGAGGCGGGGTCAGGGTGCGAACCCAGCCGGGTGCTCGCATCACCTTCTTCCAGGAGTCGTTTCGAGTGATGCTTCCCCAAGCTCCACCTCTGCCCCTACCCCACCTTTGCGCCCCCACGATCTTCCGAAAGCCACACGGCTTCTCGGATGGCAGGAGGGATTCGGAGGCGCACCGCCGCCGTCTGAAAGGCCTGCACCCCCTCTCGCTTCCTCGGATGCCGTCCCCGGGGGGTCAGATTCGGTCTTTGCCCTGGCCCGATATCCAGCTCGCTTCGGCCTAATCCCGCTGAGTCTGGCTCAATCCCGCTAAATCTAGCTCCATCCCGCTTGATCCGCGGCCGCATCCCGCGTGTGGCAGCCCCCCAGTGA